TGGCGGATCCAGAAATTTTTCAAGGAAGATGCAATATTAAGAAGGCTAAAAGGTCAACAACAAAAATTTTAAACAACCAAATAGCTTTACAGTTTAAACAATACTAATGTTATTCATAATTAAAATAAATACGAGTTTTACGTCTAAGACTAATTGACTATAGTCTATTTTGTATATCAATTAATATGCACAAAATTTAGGTTACACAATTATTATATCAAATATGAACAAAATGCATGTCAATTACTAGTCTATCAAAAATCATATGAAATCATCTATTAATCTAACCAAAATCAATACCAATTAATCTAACGCAAAATACATGTGATTTGGAGGTCACGAGATAAAAGTACATGTGATTACGAGTTCGGAGTAATTTTCGGTGAATTTTTCAAAGCACAAAAGAATTTTTAATAAATTTTTAAAGTTAGTCTAGTTAAAATTTGACACATGACGCCTTGATAGAGGACCATATTAAAAAGGAATATATTAAAGTTGAGAAGCACGGATTCTAACTTCTCACACTCCATTCGTCTTCTTCTTCGACTTAGTCTGCAAATTGTGGAAAAATTTCAAAATCTTCTCAAATTTATAACTTTGGTTGTGGAGGTCCAATTGACAAACCATTTTTTCATGATCGTGAGATCAAGCCCAACAGTCTAAGGTTAGATATTCAAGGTCTCACACAACAGCAACAAAACAGCCTCTTTGAGGCTTTTAATCGAACACTTAGTGGGCACAAGCAGAGGTGCAAATTCCAACATCTCTAATGCATTTTCCGGCGAGGGGAGGTGCAATTGCACCTCATTGCGCCTCTGTGGATCCGTCACTGTACACAAAACTTCCATTGAGAAATCCCTCAAATAAGCTTATTTAAGGGTCCCCTACGAAATTTTTTTCAACGATCCAAACCATCTATTTTTTAAGTCTACATTCATAGATCATCCTTATAAAAAAACTAGACAAATCAGAAACCGTTTCAACATCTAATTGTGTTCTACAAAATCAATTAACACCGTGCCTCAAGAAAGTACTAAAATTTCAATAATTCAATTGAGTGGTCAAATAATATCGGATTCGAGTGATTTTTTTTAAAAATGATCTTTAAATGAATATCTACAAAATAGACGATTTGAATTAGTAAAATATAATACGGAGTGGCCCTGCATAATTTTCATGAACCTAGCTAGGGTATGCTACTAATAAAAAGCCATAACACACCAAAGAATTTCTCCCATAAAAACACACACGTATACTTCCATACCTTCATGTCACCGTTGGCTTTATGGTCATTTGAAGGAGCAATATTTTCACTAAGAACGTATTCATGCATTTTCCATTCTGTCTTAACTCCTTCCCCGTGTTTCCCTGCATAAAAATCTAGAGTCCTTTTCTGCCCAATTACTTCATTGTTAACTTTGATCTTCTCATCGGTTCCAGTTGCCTTCCAATATCCATGGTTGTCTGCTGCTCGATTTGGCCGAGATCCATTTCGGTACTTTCGGTCCCTAGAACTGAAAAAGTACCACTCGCTTTCTCTGAGTAAGTTGTGCATCCCTAAAGCAAAACAGAAAGAAAGAACAAAACTTAATTAACAATTAATATAAACCGTTTAGTATTGAAATATTAATCTCCTTCTCTAAACCAATAATTCAGAATCCATTAGGGCAAATCCATTAGTTACCTTCATCAATTTTATTATCTTCTTGACTTCTAATGACGTTGGCTCAAACGTCTGCCCTAGAAATAAAACCCTAGTTGCTCTCTTCCAGACTTTAGAAGAGTTGTTCTTACTTTTTAGTTTTGGTACATGAAGTGTGGTTCATATTAATTTCATGCAGTGCTCCAAATTCTTAATCCATTCAATCTTTAATTTCTGAGTAAAAAACAAAATAACTACTAAGAGTAATGATAATTTTTTCTTTTTATGAATGGGATAAGTGGAGATACGAACTTATAACCTCTTTCAATACGAACTTCTCTATACTTCGATATCATACGTCATGCAAAAACTTCAACTAAAGCGGTGCAAACAATTAAAGAGCTTTCAAGAAAATTAGCAAAAGATTACATACTCCTTGTTTCAAGAGTAAATCCTTTTATATAAACCTTTTTAATAATAACTTAAAGTAGGATGCACGAACCTTGACGACTTGTAAGAACCCTAATTTCTTTTCCGCTATTCTTGAAAAGTTTTCTAACTAAATATGCTACTTCTAAAGTTCTAAACGATGCATGTGTAGCCTAGAAGAAGCATATCAATACCACGAAAAACTAGTGAAGGTAACCAGTAAAAAAGAAGAAATAATTAATGGATATAGAAGAAGAGGATCATAACACAAACCAGTAAGCTCTTCAGGATGGTATTTGTAAACATCAACTTCACGAAACCTGTTGATGGGCAGTAGCTCATTCTTGATCTTCTTCTTTAAGTACTCTTCAATCAATTCTTCGTCGGTTGGGACGAATCGATAACCACTTGGAAGATCATTAATATATTTATCGGTTAACCATGCTTCATCAAAAATTTCATTAGCAACCTGAATATTGCTTTCCTCCATTGAAACTCACAAGTATAGAGTTCTTAATTTTTTTTATTTATTTTTTTTATGGAGCCTATAATGTAGGAATATAGTTGAAATTTGTAGGCTTTATTGACAGGAGAAATAATAGGGGTGGGGGCTTGTGATCATTAGGCGTTTGTGTGGGATTTGGTTTCTTTACTTTCTTTGTACTGGGTCCGTACTCTGTAATTTTTATTTATTTTGTATTTATTTAATCCGTTTTCCGTATTTTATCTGATATGTGATAATAACTATAATAACTTTCTAACGACAAGTAATATTGAACAGAGAATTTGAATTACACTTGAATTTCTTTGGTTCATGGATTACACATTTAAACAATAATCAATTTGCCAACGAGAGCAAGGGCGAGTTAGAATTGAAAATTTGGGGGGCCAAAGTAGAAAATACAAGTATATAAAACACCTAAATATTCAATAATTACATGTTTAAAGCTAAATATTTCTAATTTAGTCATGTCTAATTTGTTTTAGAGGGAATTTTAACTTAAACTAGAAGTCGTTTGTTACTAATTATGTATGTTATATATAATACTAGCCCCTTGGCACATGCTCACGCATGTGCCAATTGGTTTTATTTTTTATTTTATTTTTAGAATTAATAAAAGATAACGTGGGTAGTTATATTCCATAAAAGTAGGACCTACTATCTGATTTTATTTTTATTTTTATTTTTTTAAATATTAAAAAAATATGAATTTACCATATTATCCTCATTTAATTAATAATTTCAATTCTTAATGTTTGAATTAACCAAGGGCATTTTCTGGCCTTTTGAATGTTTCACAATTCTCTGCATTTTGCTTTATATATATAAATAATAGAGGAGATATCAAAATATACGGCCACTGAATGGGAGTCTAGCCCAGTGAAAAAGCCATGGCATTATAGTTTTTTTTTGTGTGAGAAATCTCCTCTCTCTTCTTTTTTAGACCATCGCTTGTATTAAAAAACAACAATAATCAAAAAAAAAAAAAAAAAAAAAAAAAAAAAAAAAAAAAAAAAATAAATAAGATATATTATGAAGCTTGCATTGCTTCAAGATAAGCGTATAGCCTTGCAGATTTGAGTTTATTAGTTTAATACACCTTGCATTTATTACTTGATTATTTTATTAATCGATTTCCACAATATTCTCAATTCATTGACTGCCCCATATATTCAGTGTTTACAAAAATTTTAAGCATAAATTAATTAAAAGCAGCCAATAATGAAAAGAAAACCATGCCTGCATGGCATATATCCTCTCTCTTTTCCACCCTCCAACGACCGAGAAGATTGGAAGTGCCTTTTTTATTTTTATTTTTATGGGTATGTGGGAAAATATAGCAACCGGAGACATTCCTAAACTTATATGAGTATATGAACAAAGCGAAAACCATGCCTACATTGCATGGCATATATTTCACCTTTAGTTTTTGTTTTTAATGATTATTGAAAAGAGAAATTAATAAATAAAAGTAGAATTTACATGGCAATATTCATTAATTGACATGGCACGATTACATTAACTGCCACATAAAGTAGTCAGTTAGTGGTGGAGCCACCTGAGGACCATAGTGAGCCCAGGCCCCCTCTCATAATTTTTATTTTCTTATATTTTTACTTATATATGTTTGCTTTTTGTAGTAAAAATTATTAAGATTTTTGTCTTTCCTTTCCTCTTTTGATTAACTTAAGCTTCGTGAATAGCACTTGAGCTTAATAGGACACCTTAATATTGGGATTTATGAACATTTTTTGTATTTCTTCTCTCTGTTGAAGTATAAATTATTAAATTTTGAGTATTTAATAGTATAGATGATGAGATTAATATTCAACCATTTTAACATATAAAATTCAGGACAATTATGATTGTAACAAATGAACAAATTATTAATCAATAATATGAAATAATATTATTAACTTATTAACCTAGTTAGCACTTGAGCACTACTATTTGAATTATTTTTTAAAATTTTTGTGAAGGACCCCCCTCTAATGTGAAATCATGGCTCCACCACTGTGGACAATCTCGTGTGTCTGAATAGCATTACTAGTGGGAAAATATAGGTAATATGAGACATTCCCAAACCTATATGAGTCTATGAACAAAACCCAACAAGCCAATATGAGAGTCTGGAAAAATACATAGGTAATGAAAAAGTGTTCTTGGTTAGTACAAGATCACACCGACTTTAAGTTGTTCATGTAAATTGGAACTTATTTATTCACAGTAACTACGAAATTGTCAAATTAATTGGTAACAAAAATTTGTGTGACAAGTTTGGTGATCGTATTATATTGATTTGGAAATGGTAAGGAGAACTCCGCAACTTCACAACAACAAACAATTTACTTTAAATGATCACCAAAATCCAAAAACAAAAAACCAACTCTAGCCAAAAAGAAAGAATCCGCCCAACCAAATTCTAACCTAGACTAATTTACAATTTGGTGTACTGCTAGGGTTTTGCCTAAACAACTGCTGTTGACGATGATACCAACGCTCTAGTCTTTTGGCGAAATCACCATCCCTGTTTCTAGCCGCAAGTAGTTGCTCATATAGCCTGATATGCACAGGTAACTGCATAGAACTAGAATCAACCAGTGGCATTGGATCCGCATACGTGGAAGTCTCCATGGGTAGCCAAGATCCAGGTTGAGAAGAAAACGACTCCCTTGGCTGAAAATGGCTCTCAATATTGGCAGACTGCATGTCGTATTGGGTGAGGTTTTGATCGTTTTGATCGTATTGGGTAAGGTTTTGATAGTTATTGTAGACTGGTCCTGGAGGAGTGCCAGACGTTTGATTTTGGAAAGGGTACTGCTGGTGCGGATAATATGTAGGGTTTCCAACGTAGGTGTTCAATATTGTTGGGGTTGGCATGCCACGAGGACGTTTGTTTGCAGTGGAGGAAGAAGAAGCACCGCTAGATTGACCAGCAAGATATTGATCATGCTGATGAACGGGCTGGATTTGTTGGTCTGGAAAAGCTTGAGATGCTACAACATTTGTAGATGGCTCTGCTCTTTGATCAGATTGTGTAGTGCTCGAGTCATTGTTCCCTCCTTTGGTATTCTTGTAAATCTTGCACAAAACACAATTATCTAGCTGCAAAGAAAACGTACAAGAGTAAAGTTAAAATCAAGTCATATGCAAAAATAACTCATTAAAATTATAAAAGAAAAAAAAAGTTTATGGACACATGTTTACATTTTCTTACGTACCTGCGTAACACGAGTATTGCTTATTTCATTACGAGGAGCAGTCTCTGTATTGAGCGTGTATTCATGCATTTTCCATTCTGTCCTCTTGCTATCTTGATGATTCCCTTGATAAAAATCTAGAGTCCTTTTGGACCCAATTACTTTACCATTCCTGTCTTCGATGTCCTGAGCTTTTCCAGTTGCCTTCCAAAATCCATCGACTGCTGATCGATCTGGCCGTTGTCCTCTCGGGTACTTTCGTTTCCTAGAAGTGAAAAAATACCACTCACTTTCTCTAATTAAAGTGATGCGCCCTAGAAAGAAAAAGAAAAGTTAAAGTTATCCCACTACAAAAGGAAAATAATATAAAAAAAATTAACCTAAAGTGAGCATATAGATGAAGACACAAGATACTAACCAGTGAGGTCTCTAGGATGATACAAGGAGATGTCAAGGTCAAGAAACCTGTTTTTGGGGATTTCCTTGTTCAAGACCTTTCCCTCTAAGTAGCTTGAAACCAACTCGGCATCAGTTGGGGCAAATCGATAGCCACATGGAAGAGAATTAAAATATGCATCGTTGGTTGGATCGTTGATGAGCAGATCTACTTGGTCAGGAATCGGATCGTTGATGAACCGATTGTTTTCTTCCATGGTGATTACGCGAATGCGAAGCTCCTAATTTAAGATTATGAAGCCTTTTATAGGAAGATACTTGAAAATTGCAGGTGTAAAAAGCCTTGAGCATGGAGAATTGGTGTTTCGGTCCGTGTTTATATAGGATTTGGTTTCCTTCTAAACTGCATGTTTTGTTTTTGTTTTTTTTTTCTAAAATAACACAAGTGTAGCAAGTTATATGGAACGAGGTTTTAGGAGTTTTAATTAGATTATGTTTGCTTAATTTGGAGTTAAGATAAATGATAATCCTATGGTGTCATAAACTTATATTTGAATTTATTCGACCGAAAAAAAATGTATTTTCCACGTAATCCATCTTAACCAAAACAAATTTTTTTTAATATAAGAAAAATAGAAAGATGGAGCAAGGTTGCAACTTTCTAGGATTACCAAATGTAGATTTTATATATGACTCCATGGAACTTGGAAGTTTTGTTTGATATATAATTGCTCCTATTGAATTTCATAAACTAGGGTTGTGATAAGAATCTGTATTTTAGACAAAAAAGAAAAAGAAAAAGAAAAAGATAAGAATATGTATTTTGGGTGACTTGAGTCAAATATTGGGTCACTTAATTTGGGACAATTTAAGTGAGTTTTTTATTATATTTGAAAGTTTTAAAAAATTAACATTTATGAATTTATGAGATAAATTTGAGCAAAATTCAGGAGAAAGGTTCAAGAACTTTATCTTTTTAAAAATAAAGAAAAATAAAAAGACATGGCTTAAACGTCGTCATTGTGGTCAGACTTTTTTTAAAACAAAGAAGCAGCGCGCGCCTAGTGCTACTTAAAGCTTGTGTAGATTGGTTAGGGCATTCTATGGGGCACCTGGTTTGCCCCCTATGCGGCTCTCAAGGATTACATGTTATTGTATCTATTTCTTAACAAAGTATAATTGATTGCTAAAATTCATTAGGTATTTTAGTCAGATTCATTTTTCTATATTCAACTTTGTGTTTATACCTGAAATTTTCCAACTAGGCCCTACAAGAACTGATGATGTGGCAGTGGCACTCAAGCCACATTTGTGGCCCAAGTGACAAATTTCAAGCCTAAGATCAAGACAAAGATGGTTGAGCTCGAAATGACACATGGGTCATGAGTTGAGTCCATGACAGCCTAAACCCAGAAGTTAGACTTCAAAGCCCAAAATTGTAACCCAATATTCTCGGCCCATGGTAGATTTTTCCCTGCTATAAATCTTTGTTATTCTTCTTAGGGTTTAGGGTTTAGGGATGGGGCTTTGCAATGGAAATCAATCAAGAGGTAATCTTACACCATTTTATAACTAATCAGAAGGAAATAACTTTTTTCGTGTTTGTAGATTTGTGACTCTAAAAGGGCCTAATTGTTTACTTTCGCCCTGGGTTCTCAAAAACTTAAGGCGAACCCGCCACCATGGATTTATTAAGGGAACTCATTAAGCTGAAAGTTGTGTTGAAGAGAATTGTAATATGACTCATAATTTATTGAATAACATTCGTGTTTTGGGTAATACTTGGTTAAGGTAGAAAACATGTTCAATATGATTTATTTCTTTTTGGGTTTTATCATTGTGATTTCAGATGATTTTGGGTGCCAATAGTTTCTGGAATTTTGGTGGCTCAATGGCTCTGGAATGATCACCATTAGGATTGATCATCAATTGAAAATCAAACCAACACACCAACACAACGGTGTGACGGAGAAAACTTCAAGCAGGGCTCCACCGTTGGGATGATGATAGAAGAAGACTGCTGAACTTTTAGGATGATGGTTAAAATGAAGTACTTCAAAATGAAAAAAAAACAAAAACAAAATCACATATTATTTCTTGTCCAACAAGCAAGTTTACTAGGAGCACCACTATGATTAACACTCCAGAAAAATTCTGGGCAAGCCCACAGTCTAGATAAAAATTACATTGGGCTTTTATTAAATAAAGTCCAAGACAAACTATTGACCCACTTAGGTCCAGCCTTGTCCCATAGTTGGGCCTAATCTCATATAACAGTTTCATTATTTTTTTTGTGGGACCAAACACTTCATTTCCAAGACTAATTATCATAGAAAAGTGCTAATGGACCATGGAAATTTAGGATTTGCAAATGGTGCTTTTGGAAAATTGAGGGTGATATAAGTAATGTTATTTTCTTTGTTATAATAATATGGGGTTCAGAGTTGGCTCAGAATTGAATAAGTAAAACACGGCCAGCACTGGCAGATCCAGGAATTTTTAAGAGGAGGTGCAACATTTCTAAGACTAACTGTTCCACACAACAACAAAAATTACTTTGGAAATTGTCAGTTGTTTAGACAAAAATAACTTGTGTAATTTAACTGATACTATTATTATTCATAATGCATGAAAGAAATAACATTTTCTTATTAATTAAAAAAAATTCACTGATGAATTTTTTGTTTTATGTTTTGAAAAACTTGCATGATGCACATTCATGATTTGAATATATTGATTAATTGGATTTACAATATTGTAATGTATATATGAACTAACAAAATTCGCTTGTTATGAATGTGCAATTTATATATTCAGGGAAAAGAAAAAAAAAGAACTTTCAATTTATTTCCTTATGTCAAAAATTAAATTAACAAATAATTTCATTGATAATTCAACAGCATTTTTCTGTTCAATATGTGCTTTTATATATCAAAGTGTTTCTAGGTTAAGCCATCAAACTCTAATGACTTCTCTACCCTCAAACTAAAGCTACAGCCTGATGTTGTCTTTAATAGAACAAAAATTAAATGCATGTAATGCACACAGAGATTTTAAAACATATTAATTGATCTGGTCCAAAACGATTTGTTTTGGCTAGATCATTAAACATAAAAATAGATCGCGCTTGTTGCTGTTGCTCTTCACTCCAACCTTTCCACAAACAAGTTGTGGGCATTCTTACCCAGCCGCCCAAGAGCTCAAGATGACTGACTTCTATGGTATTTTCAGGTGATGGGAGGTGCACATACGCCTCCTTGCGCCTCTGTGGGTCCACCACTGACGACCAGATCATTTGGTGAATAAATTAGTGTGTGAAGTTCATGAAAAATTATTAGTGCGGTGGTAATGATGTGGTGTCATAATTTTTTGGACTTGTAAAGTTACATGGCATTTGACTTTGGTGTTACTGTCACATAGGATAATTTTTCTAAGTTATCTGATCTATGCATAAAAACTTATGTACGGCTAACGGTAAAATTACGTGGCATGCTTGAATGAATGTTACAAAATTCACACAAATTAAAATGCATGTACCGAATATAATATTTTGTATTGGAGTGTAGAATTTTAGATACGGATGATTGTAACTGTGTTAATTGGGTGAATTATCACATCCAAGAATTTCTTCTAAGCAATCAATCGTGCAAATCTTGTCAAATGATTTTAGGTGCACTTGGTTTCGGCCGACAATTTGGGAAAAGTTTCTAATACTGGAATGAAGTAATAAGTTAATAACAGTGAGAAAAAAGTCCTAAAGTTGAAAACTCTGAGTGACTTTTTATAGATCACTTGGAGAAAGGTCTATGTGCTTTTCATGTCAAGTTGGCCACCAGGGTCATGCCAAGTTGGCCATTGGGTGCTATTTCCCCTAAAAAGATTTTTGAAAGCGATCCAACTTGGATGGGGAATAGGGAAGAGATGAGGCCTAGACTCCTATAAAAGAGCAATTAAATTTAATCAGAAAAAATAAAACTATTCTTGTCATCATCAATGCCTTTTCTCTTATAAAATTTGCAGAAGTGGGTATTGCAATCCTGTGGGGGTGATTATTTAAGAACAATCTTGGTCATGTGCAAGCTCCTGATTTTTATTTATTTTTAGTTTGTGTTAAATAATTTACTAATTACTCTTGGTCTAATTTTACTTTCTTTCTAATTTTGGAAGAAATTTCAAATTCCAACCCGTTTCTTCTCCTATCGATGAAAAATATCATAAAGTTTCGAACCAAAGACGGTCCTACGTTGTGTCTAATCTATAGCCCATGTGAGTTTGCAGTGTTCATGTGAGTTTTTATATATATATTTAATATGTAGATTTTAAGGTTTAGCCCAATTTAAAATCCTGACTTCGTTTCTATTTCAAACATTTCAACTCGATACATGAATAAATACTAATAACTATATGAATTTACAAGTCATTAACAAAACAAACAAAAAATATTGAATTTCATGAGAGCATAGGGAATATGGATCTGACTTTGGAAGAAGGCTCTACTGCTTTATAGGAAAATACTCTCTAGTAATCCACATGTCCTCATATTTGAAACAATCTTCGGTCAAAGTCCCACTTTGATCAAAGGGTATCATTCATTTCAACATTTTTTAAATTTTTTTGACATTTCTTTTTCTCAGCCCAAGTGTTACATTCAAAGATCATAGTATTTTCAAATGGCATAAACATTATAAGATAAATTATTCTACATTTTTCTTTCAAACATTTGACATTTCTACAAAACTCCAAACATAAGAGTGCTCATTAATTAAAGACAAAGTGGGAGACAAATAAAGAAACCCTAATCCTATGATCATTCCTTTTTTAAATTTAAAAATAAAAAATAAAAAATTCCTCTAGCAAAGCATCATCCAGAGAGCAAAAGACCAAGTCTCATGCTGCCCCAAAAAGGTTCAATTCTTTTGACCAAACCAAATCCTCTCTGACCTAAAATCAGATATAAATACAACAAGTAGGACGTCTTTTTTGTATTCTTGCTGAAGCTCTCTTTCCTGGAAATTTACAAAATTCTTTAAAATATTGTAAACGTTGTGTTTTAGATATTGTGTGTTGCATGATGTTCAACTTGACCAACAAGCATAATGGTCGTACTGATTTTGACAATTTAGGGTATAGGATGGGATCTGCCGACTTGTTATCCGCAAATACAATGCTGCACTTTCTTGGGTGGGAGAGTTTGATCCTGGCCCCATAACATGTACTCTAGTACTGTATGAAATTATAAAGATTCATTGCACCATGTCCACTTAGCTTGCGTTTGAATGATGCTACTACGTGCACTTCACAACTTGAATAATTTTGCAAGTTTGCTTTACTGCAAAATAATAAGAATTTTATTTTAAGTTGTAAGTGGCGAGGGAGGGAGGATAAGAAAATGTATTTTAAGTTGTAGGGCTCTTCTTACTCCAACCAGGACAAGCACCTCTGCCACCTTTGGTGTGACTTCTCATCTTCCATTTCCTCATTGTTTGTTTTGATGTGCCCTATCTCCTTGCGTTTCCAAATTTTGGCCATATGTCCTTCCTTATTCCATTTGCATCTCCTCTCCAACTTCACTTCAGCCATAACTCTCACCTCCCCCGCTTCTCTCCTCACCCACACATCAGTTCCTTCTTCTCCCCTTCCGTGAGATCTGAAACCGTAAAATCCTCCTCCCTCCCTAGGATTTTCTTGGTCGTCTACTACAGGTTGCTGCATCTGCCTCTCTCCTACAATACATCCTCAAATTTGAACTTTTTCTATGGAGGTGTGGGCGCTGTCTTAATGGTCAATTTTGACCCTTACTTAGATCGTTTGAGTATGATAATTGTCGGTGGCTTGCTTCCCCAAAACCATGCTCTACAGATCCCACTTGTTGGTTTCTCTCGACTTTCTTCCCTAAATCAAGCGACAATGACTTGTTGTTTATAAGGTCTGAATCTAGAGACCAATACTAACATTTTGGATAGCTAAGATATGAAAAAATAGTCTGGTTAGATGAATGCTAAGTGTGTGGCTTCAATTCAAATAAGAATAAATTGAAACCTCATATAGGTCAAATGAATCAACATGGAGCAAAATAAATGACGTGGTCCAGTTTCAAGTTGTCAACAATGGGGAGTTAGATTTTCATTCTATTATTGATATCAAAATCATAGCCCATGTGCACCAACGTCGTTTAATTCAAGCATTCACTTGAAGATCAGCGGTTTCAGATTTGAATCCCCCATGGCACCCTGGTAGTGTGTGTGAAAAGCCCTCCTCCTCATTGTAGTTTAAACTATCACTTGTATTTAAAAAAAACAAAAATCATATCCACGTGCTTTGTGGTTTGAAGCTATTTCTATACACTCCATTTCAATTGTTTTGCCCTTTTAAGTGTTCTTGTTGCCAATGTGAGTGTGACCAAAAAATTTATGCTCTTTGTCTAAGTTTTGACAACTAGGTTCTTTAGCATTTTGACACTAGTTGCGTGTGGACAATAAATTCCACATTCTGTTCTGATTTCTTTAGCTAAGAATGAGGAACAATCCTTCAAGGATTGGATTGCCAAGCAAGTTCCTAGGTGTTTCCCTATTTCTCTTATTGTTTTTCAACAATTTGGCAAAGCAAACGCTAAGGAACAATTTTGTCACATAGAATCCAATCACACGTGTCACTCTTTCAATCATTCTAATACTACACGTGTCATCCCACCAATTAAGATCTCAACGCCTTTGCTTCACATTCACTCAAGAATTTTGTCACCATGTTGCATATGTATGCCAATGCCATGGGGTTTTTCTTATTTTCTATTTTTGGATATTAAAAATAAAATAAAATTAGGGATTTCTTTTTTCCTCCCAAGAAAAAAAGGGTTATATAAAAAACTTAGAAGACCTAAAATTAAAATAATAAAAAAAGAACGAGTAGCGGTGGTGGGGAAGGGAAGAAACTTCATAAGCACCTTACAAGAAAACGAAAGCAGGTCTTCTTTGTGTCGTGAATTGAATGCGACCACAAGGCCACCCCTTTTCTCTTTCTCTCTCTTCTTCTTCTGCTGTCTCTGCCTCTCTCTCTGTCTCTCTCTCTCTCTCTCTCTCTCTCTCTCCACTACTTCTTCCTAGGGAGGACTATTGGACTAAAGATTCCCTCTTTTGTATGCTACAAATATGAGAATGCTTCATGGGATATCTTGCAACTTATTCTACCACCCTTGTGATTTTTTCTATCCCAATTTCGTGTTGATTTGATTGCAAGCCTTCACAAAACTTCAGCTTGAAAAAGATACACCCAGAGTGGGCTTTTATATCCTTCTTTGGCCCTCTGAACAATACATCCCCTGCCAAGAAATAAGCTTGCTTTTTATTTTTGGTTATAGAGCAATTACTGCTTGCACAAAGGTACCTGGGTCTTAATCTGTTTGATCTTTTCAGCCTTTTCTTTTATTCCAAATGTTGTTTTAACCCTTTTTTAGTGGTTTGATCCATATGTTTTAGCTATATTGAGGTGGGTTTATGTTTGTTTGCATTTTGATGTTCTTTGCTCTCTCCCTAATTGGTTTTTGTTTTGTTTTTGTATATGGGGTTAAAGAGATTTTGACAAAAAAACCAACAATTGTATTTTTGTGGCATCGCTTTCCCCGATTTTTGTTCTTTTCTGTATGTATATTTCTATCTCGGATTAGGAACATTAATGGGCATCTGTGTTTTGATTTTGAACTTCATTATCGTATTTACCTAGTTCAAGCTCAAAATCTTCTTGTTTTGTTTTTTCGGCTTTCTGTTGTCAGTTTTCCAAATGCAATAGAGAGACGTTTAGTTGCAATCTCTGCCTTTTATGCCTCGTCTGGCTTGAACTTTTCGTATATTTCTTAGATCCAGAAAATATTGAATTACTCTCATCTCTCTCCATTTCTGCTGATCAGGGGGAATCTAGATTTGCAGGAACAGATTTCTCTATGGTAAGAACCTCATCCTTAGTTTATACTTAATATTGGTTAATAAATTAACTTTTATCAGGAATGTAATTAGAAATGATGTCTGCATGTGAAGCAAGATGGTTCCTTTGATGTGATTTGATTTTGGTTGTTATCATCAGGGAGAAGCCCCAGCATTCTTTGTTGATGTGCTGCAGAAGGGATATGGAAATGGATTTGATATAAAATCCAAAGGCGGTGAAACAGCCATTCTCATGGGCAACAGAACTGTATGATATTTAACATATCAATATGATTTTGTCATCCAATGTCCCTGTTTGTTCTTCAGTGATTTACCACCGGGTCAATCATATTGCCAATGCATTTTTTGACAGTATGTGATTGGTGGAGCCTGTGAGGAATCGCCATTGTCAATTGGAGTTCAGATTTTTGACCAATCTACTGGTGAATGGTAAGTGTATGACTCTTGGTATTGAATTGCTTTTGTCTGATTTTGTTACTGATATCTGGTTTAAATTTGCAGGATATATCCTACTGTGTTGGGAACAAAACCCAAAACATGTAAGGGCCTTTCAGCAGTGCTTTTAAGTGAAGACCGAATATTGATTACTAAGAATGGTTCCACCCCAGACGATTTTGCTTGGTTCCTTGAGGTGGGTACCTGCGAAACTATTCAGATATGATAAGGGAGAGTATATTTGAACAGAACAATTTCGTCTCATTTAGTAATAGTTTAAGTTTGAGACAGACAACGGAAGATAAAATGAGACTGCACCAAATGATAGTAGGAGTTTCAAACAATAAGTTTGGAAATAGAATTATATTCAATTGATGCGAGAACAAAATAACTCCTGTCCTTGTTGCTGTTAAATAAAGTGGAATTGTTCAGTTAACACCATTCTGTCCATCGCGTATTACGTTTAGATGATCACTGGATTATTCTGAAATCTAAAATTGTTTTGTTTTAGGTGGACACCCAATATGTGAGGCAGCAGAAGAAAATTTTGGGCACTGACGTGGTTGCCTGGAGTAAGGGTGTGAGGGGCTATGCTGAGAAGCCAATTGTTATTAGTGGTCCTTCTGGGGTGGGTAAGGGGACACTAATATCCATGCTCATGAAAGAATATCCCTCCATGTTTGGGTTCTCTGTAAGCCACACAACCCGTGCTCCTAGAGCTATGGAGAAGGATGGGGTCCATTACCATTTCATTGAGCGAAGTTCCATGGAGAAAGAGATAGAAGATGGGAAGTTCCTTGAGTTTGCTTCTGTGCATGGAAATCTCTATGGAACTAGTGTTGAAGCAGTAGAAGTGGTAGCAGATGATGGGAAGGTAACTTCCTTTGATCAGTGGTTTCTATTTTGATTATTGTTGGAGCCTGGTCGTTTTCTTTATCATGTCAAACTTGCTATATGGATCTGCCATTTGGTGAATCAAAGCATCTGCATGATGATTAGTTGTATTTGGAACAACTTTTCTAGATTGTAGTCTGGTTTATGGGATACAATTAGAGGCTAATTCATATAATCCTTAATGTCATGGTCAGAGTTGTGAAAAGCTTATGAGGATATTTTATGTATTTTAGATTTCGCCCTCATATTGTTAAATTATGTTAGTGGCACTCTCTCACAAGCACTGCTTTCTTTACTGAGATTCTTGTGGTTATTCATTCTGTAATGTTGTTTGCTTTCAATGTAGAGATGCATTCTTGACATTGATGTTCAAGGTGCAAGATCCGTGAGGGCTAGTTCACTGGAAGCTATCATCATCTTTGTATGTCCACCCTCAATGGAGGAGCTTGAGAAGCGCCTTCGTGCAAGGTAGTTTGAGATGCCATTTTATTTTTCTCATTCTCAAATTCCTCTTCCACATTGCCAATTCTGAGTATGCTTAAATATGCTAAACAGGGGAACTGAGACAGAGGAACAGGTCCTAAAGCGACTTAAAAATGCCAAGGCCGAGATTGAGCAAGGGCAATCGTCAGGCATCTTTGATCATATGCTGTATAATGATAACCTGGAAGAGTGTTACAAGAGTCTTAAGGTATATGTTCCTTTCTTCTTAAAATTTCATCAATGCTTCTAGCGATGTTATATATTTACTAATTTCCTTATCAGTTGATAATTTTTACTGCTTAGTGATAACATATTCCCTCGTTTTTGTAGAAACTCTTGGGGCTAGATGGAACTGTCACTGCTCCTCCTAAGTCATGTAAGAAATGGTTCAATTCAGTGTACTGTATACTTGGTTCTTATTAGTTTCATATGCAATTAATTGTATTTAACGTGTTAAAAATTCCATTTCAGCTCCTAAAGTGGTTGATCTGCCTATGGACCATTCAGTAGCCAAAATTGATCACAGAATCATCATAAACTCTAAAACTCCGGAACTGGGAAAAGCATCTACGAACATGTAAGTATCTTTTTCATTGTTAGTTTCTTCTATGCATAAGATATTCAGCTTGTTTACATGTTTACGCTGTCTTAGCAGGATTGTGCTGGATGTGTCATCCCTCAAAGGAGGGGGCCCTGGACGGACTAGAGGGCTAGACATTTATACCATGGACTCTTTTTTGGATGGTTTGGCTGGTATCAATCACTAAGCCAAAAATTTCAACCCAGATAGCGACCGACTTCTTTGATTTCTTTATTCGTCGTATTTTCAAATCTTTCGCAATTTTAATCATAAAGAAAAAGTGGTGATGAAGTTTCATATATGATTGTGTCAGATCATCGCATAGATTGGATTATTTTTTTCCCCATTCTTTGCTTGTTTAGAACAGAGATTACTTTAGACTTGGAGCACTGTTGAACATTTACAATGAACCCACATGGGCAAATGAGAGCTGATTTATGGTTTTGTTCGGCAAATTTGAATATTGAGCTAAGAAAACCATCCGCGAGGATGCCATAAACATTACTCTGAACTGTTGTTATAGCTTTTGCTTTTACCCTCACTACCAGTTTAGAAAACTACTCCGAATTTAATTTAGTCAGACTAAACCAGGTTGCTGCTTTTAGTTCTTTGTAGTCGCCAACATCAAACATGAGGGTTCTACAGGGGTTCCATAAAATCATGGGGTCGGACAAAGGAGAGAGGAAAACTTTGAAGCAATAGTTAGTATATGAAGGAAAGCTTCCCTGGTCGCATGGGCGCGACTGATCGTAGCAAAATCATACCATTTTTCATGCCTGGAACTCGGGCTGTGCAACCATAATATTAGTGGTAAAGGTGAATCATGACATTTTTAATGCCTAGAAATCAGCCTGTCTAACCATATTACTACAATACAGTGGCTTAGTATAGGTGTATTCAATTGGGAATTCACAAAATTTGTAAATATCTTATAGCTCAGATAGTTAAGAGCAAAAATTCTTACACCCGAGATTCCGTGTTTAGATTCCCCGCTCGAAAAAGAACAGCAAGGGCATAGTACATTAGCGAAACACGAGGTTGGACTTAAAAGAGTGTCTAGATGCAATGACAAAGTCAAAACATCTCCAAGAATGGGTCGCTTAGTCATAAAGGTAGGGAAGAATCGGTCAGTATGCTTGTTTAGTTTTTATTTTGATTGGAGAATGGGTCAAATTAGTTAGCTGGTGTTTGGTGGACAGCTGTGGATACACGGTTGCCATAAGTCGCCAACTTTCCAGAGGGTTTTGGACTGGATGTATCTCGGAAGTCCCTTTGTTCAGATTTAGAATGCACAATGCCACCTCCATATACATATGTAACTATCAACCAGCTGCAATCTAACAAACATTGATGTCTAAATTTCCTAACACTTACAATTATGTCGACATCGTATTTAGGGTTAAATGCCATATTTGACCCATGTGAATTTTTATTTTGGTTCCCATGTTTAATTGACGAATTTGGTCTTTGTGCTTTGTCATGTTAACAATTTTGGTCTCGTTTGACGTTAATTTGCTCGATCTGCGAGGGCACAAAATCAGACAAAAATGACCCAAATTGTTAACAGATTAAAGCTCGTGGAATAAATTGGTCAAATTTAGAAATACAAAATTGAAAATCCGAATAAAACATAGGGATCAAGAATGTATTTCAATACTTGTATTTAATACAAGTTATTAGACTATTTCAAGTAAATTAGACTAACGTTCCGGCAATTATTTGGTGAACTTATAAATTGCGGGATCAAACTTATTAAATTAGATAATAATCTAACATAGTTAATTGATTGAAATCTATTTAGAAACGAGCCACCAAATAATTCCGTGTAGAATCTTAAAAGCTAGGTTTTATTGGTGGGCGGCTGACATTACGTAGCGGTCATTTGCCACCACCAGTTTTTGAGTGGTTCAAATTCGCAGCAAAGAAGTATTGGAGTATTTATTCTATCAAGGACAAAATTCTAGAGAAAATCAGTCTTAAAACAACGATGGTGTTTTACCAAGATAGATGAGAAGTGTACTTATGGACGTTTCTATCATCTAGATTCCCAGAATATTTAACAATGGCCGTTAATGTAGTTTTCAGTTGTGAATTGACCTAGGAATGAGCTCTTAAAATAAAAGGATGACACTGCTTCGCTCTTAAAAATTACAGTTTCCCACACATAAAAAAATAATTTATATAAAACCCACAAATTATCTTTTTACAAACATGTCAAACTGTTTTGTTGTGAATTTGGCTCAATGTCATATCCTGGAGGTTGAGATTTGGGGCCTATATTTTGGTCTAAAACTTGCTGTTGAGAAAGGTATCACTAATCTTGCTATTGAAATGGATGTTGTTGTTGTTGTCTCACTTGTTCAATAAATCAATTCATTGCAATGTCATCCTCTTGCTGCTTTGGTGCATAGTTGTTGTGATATCAGGAGACAAATTGAAAATTGTCACATTGTCCACATTTACAAGGAAAATAATTGTGTTGCAGATTGTTTGGCAAACTGGAGTTATAATCAAGACTAGAAATTTGTTTTTTTGATTAAACTCTTGTCTAGGTTAGTTCTCTGTTAGTGGATGACTTGCTTGGTCTTGCTAGGCCTCGACTCATGCATGGTGTTTAGTTGTTTTATGGAGGTTTTTCCCATATTCACAACCAAAAAAAAAAAAAAAAAAAAAAATGTGAAACTATAATCGACAGATTTCTTATTTCTTTGGGAGGAGGCAAGTATTTGCCAATAAAAAAGGGCAAGGTACCAAAAGTCCATAGCTGTCATGGTTTGAAGTGGAGCCTCATGTGGGTTCTGAAACAGTCCCTAGGATGGATCACAGTGCTATATATGCTTTATTTGCAGGCTTAGTTTGGTCTAGTGGGGCAGAGAAACCTAGGGTTATAATTTTTTAAGGTCCAAGTATCTATACATGCCATAAACTGCCAATTGTGTTAGGGACATGGGGCATGGGCAACTGGGGCATCATATAGGCATTCTATCTAGGGAAGTTGGAGATGGCCCATATGAGAAACTTCTGCAGCGAGGGCCGTTGCAGCATATACATGTGAAAGTATGAATCTGCTACCAGTTCAGTGGGGTCCCCTGAGTACTGAATGAGGCCACACAGGGCAAGTGGGCGATTTGGTTGTTGGTGCTTTTCAGTTTGGGTAGGTCCTATTCACACATAATTTCACATGCTGCTGTGCAGCTATATGGAAGGTACTAGCCTGCTTTTTTCTATTTGGCAGCTGCTATGGACTCGGTGCAGGCGGAGTCAGAAAATTTTTAGGAAATGGAAAATATTTAAAAGGTTAAAAGTTTAAAAATAAAATAAAAAATTATACAACTAAATATCCTTAGAATTTAAACGATAAAATTCCCTTAGATTCATGGTGGGCAGAGTCTCTTAAAGACATTTAATCGAACACATAGTTGGCACTAACAAATGTGCATATTTTGGCATCTCCAAGAAATTTTCTGGCGAGGGGAGAAAAGTCAAGCACACCAAAAAGCCATAAAGACCCTTAAAATTTCAGAAATAACTTATCATCTATATAAGGTAGGACCCAAACTCTATTATGGGGCCCAAAGAGTGCTCAACTTTGGGCCTCTAGTGACATTCTCATGTCATGGACCCAATCTGAAATTTAAGCCCTTCTCCTTCTGGTTTGAAGACCTACTTAGTAGGACCAGCTCGTCTCTTTTGTTAAAGATGAATGTCGTACAGAAAAATCTAACCTATGAAATTTTATCGTGTCGTGGTGCTAAAATGATAAACCAAATCAACCGTTAAGTTATAGTTTCAAAGCACAACTTATACCATATGGAAACATTTACTATTATTATTTTTAGCAATGGAGAGGGGAGATACGAACTTGAAACTTCTTCCAATATGAATAAGAGAATGCCATTAAACTATACGAACTAGTTGGTTCTCATTTTTATTGTGGTTAAAGCAATGAAATGGTCGATCCATTGTATTGGATTCTACTCCTTTTTGTTTGTCTTACTTTGTCCTTGAAATTCACTTTGGATTGAAAAGCTTGCTCCACGGATTTGTCTGTTCATCTTTTTCATGTGCTTCCACTGAACCAGTTAGTTCATGTAAAGAAAGTGTAGATAAAATCTTTCGATTCTACTATTGCAGCATCGACATGATTGTATTTTGGTGGTATAACTAGGCTTCGTAAAGTTTTCGCAACGATTTTCTTGTTTGGAATTGTATCACCAAAACTTTTGATTTGGTTCACAATACTAGTGTTAAAATTAATGCACACTTGTGTCTTGAATAATATAGAATAATCTAGAAAAATTGAGAGAAGTTGACAAGTTAAAGTCACTAGAAACATCCTACTAATTATATAATGTATTATAAATAGAGACAATTTGTGGCTGAAAATGACTTTGGAAAAGTCGGTTGTCGGTTACTTGCAACCGACTCGTCCAAAGCAAAGTTGCCGACTAAGTATTCCTATAAATAAGCCTATAGCCTCTCAATTTAATCAAGCTAAAAAACTACAGCTGTCCAACTCTAGCCATCAGCCAACTCAAGTATTAAAACCTTGTACCTTTCCTATTTCAATCAATAAAATAAAACTACTTTGTTACTCTTCAAAAGTTTTCCTTCCCAAGTTAAGCTATTGTCCCAAACACTACCAACCATTCTCTAGACCTCTTATCCCTTAAACTAACAACTAGAAATTTTTGTGAAGAATGCTTGAATGGATTCGTTGTCCTTCATACATAAATTATCAAATTCCCGCCACAAGGATTGGAGTTTGATGGAGATCACTTTTTGTGAACCTTGGAACTCAATTTTGAGAATATCCCAAGTGCCCTTTGATGTTGTTGCTGAAAGAAATCTTGGAAAGAGATATTCGCTTTTACTCCTTGTTGAATTAGGACCATAGCCTTGGCATCTCTTTTCCTATTTTCCTTGTAAGCCTGTTGCTTTTCTGGTGTCTGTTTTCCTGCAGATGAAGTGTTTGGTTCCTCATAACCATCTTGGATAAGATCCCAAAAGGTCCTGGGAAATGAACAAAGTCTTCATTTGTAGGCTCCAATGATGATAATTCTCTCCATGAAAAAATAGGCACTAAATTCAGGACATTGCCAATGGTTGAGGAATTTGAACTTGATGCCATTGTTAACACAGCAGGAGGATCGGTTTTGCTCCTATACCAAATTTGTTGGAGGAAGGATCACAAAACTGAAATATATATGGCAGAAATATGATTTTTGACAGAGAGTATTTAAAACAGTAGAATCTGATATTTGATAATATACATATACAGTTCTTCTCCTATAGACTCGAATTAAACTTTCACCAGGAGCAGATTCTATTCTGGTCGGAAATCGAAAGGCATGAAAGGAGGACAAACTTCGGTTACAGAGCTGTGCTCGCTGGATTTGGCTGCTTCTAGCAGATTCGTTAGCAAACTTGTAGCTCCCAAACTAATTCCCTTATATTTCTTGGTATCGGTAAAATCACCAGTTCCGTAGTAAGCAGGCCGATCATTGGTGCAACGGGTAATTGTTTCGATCAACCCTTTCAAATCTTCCTTGTACACGAGACGCATCCCGCATAGTTCAACCTCCACACCTGGTGTTCTACATCCAAATAAAGCCTGAATGAAATGGCACCGGTTCAAATGTTCTGGAAAGCGTACGCGTGGGATATGAACAATGAGGAGCCGATGTGACCCCTCATTGTCATCCAAGGGAGAAGATACGATTAGGTGATGCATCAGTTGGTTATGGCCCACAGCTTCAATGGGGGTATACAAATGACACTCGTAGAAAGTGCGAGTAGTAAGTGAAGCACCTGGGGGCAGACTGCAGACAACATATAGAGAAAGTCCTGCCCATTTCTCATCGTTATGCAGATTTTGAGGAAGAGCTAAGTTTACTGTGCATGCAGACGTGCTGCTTTGTTCACTAAACCACTGTAATCTTTCACGTCGAGGAAAAATAAAACCATAATCATAGAGATGCGGAAGGCCCTGCTGTAATCCCTAGAGACAAACATACTCATGATATCAGTAATTCAGTCGTCATTCTTTTTGTGTGTTTGTGTGTGTGTGTGTGTGTGTGTGTGTGTGTGTGTGAGAGAGAGAGAGAGAGAGAGAGAGAGAGTACCTCAAATAGTTTTTCAAGCAATGACACCACGTTTCTTCTCAATTGACCTACAATCCTGGTTGAAGTAGTAGTTTCTTGTTCTTGTACTTCTTGTTGAGTTTGAACCCCGCTTGTTGACTGAATACTTCTCATACCATCTTCTTCTTGTTCATGCTGATAGCCAAGATAGTGTTTATTCAATTTCTGGACAAATTTGGGGACATCTTCCAAGTATATTAGGCTCACCCCACACCCTGTCACTTTTGTTCCTGGGCTGTCAGGTGTAATTGAAGCTCGGATCAAGCGTCTATTCGAATTTTCCGTAAGGTCAATTCGTGGTATAAAGCACCAATGTATAAATGGTCCAGCTAAATTGCAGTCGCGGTAAATAATTACTTGGGGACATTCATGATGATCTTCAGTTGTATAGAGTTCAATATGGTGATTGCGAGTGAAGTTTGCTCCCAGTTCCTCATCAAATTCTGGTACATCTTCCAAACTATCATGCTTCTGAGCTGCTTCACAAACAAAGCACAGAGCAAGTTTGATCCATTTACTCTTACCGTCTAAATCAAGAGGTAGAGGGATTGTTATTGTGGATTCAGTACTCTGACGGCTCAACCATGCTGGGATTTCATTTGATCGATAACCATATTCAAACCTTTCACCGCGCTGAATGGCACCCTATAAAATAGAAACGAAAGAAAGATAATAATAAAATGTTCAGGAGAGATAGAAACGAAAGAAAGATAATAATAAAATGTTCAGGAGAGAGAGAGAGAGAGAGAGAGAGAGAGAGAGAGAGGACCTCAAAGAATGTTTGATAGAATGGCCTCAAAATATGTTTATCAGGTAACCAAAACGCCTGAGCTTTGTCTTCATTTCTTGGGGGATTTAGAAAACCAAATCCAGCAGCAGCTGAAGGCCACACCGTTGTTTTATGTTGTTTTATTTGAATGTGCTTCCGGCAGCAGAGGACAATTATGTACACTTACGGCTCTTATACTAAATGGAAGCCGTGGCAATGATTGAAGCTTTCTACAATCATTCAATGCAAGTTCTTCAAGCTGACAAAGTTGAGAGATGCTTTCAGGTACAAGGCTTATAGCAGTGCCGCTAGCATCAAGCACCTGTAAACATTCTAAACTCCCCAGGTTCTCGGGTAACTCGTTAAGATTTGAACACCCTGAGACGTTGAGAATTTGAAGTGATGTCAAAGCAGTGCAAATGACGTCTGGAAGACACAAAAGGTTCTTGCAGTCTTTCAGCTTAGAGAGGTTAAGGCCGGTTAAATGCTTGATTGATGCTGGTAGCTCTTGTATAGCTGTCCTGCTTGCATCAAGCTCCTGTAAACATTCTAAACTCCCTAAGTTCTCTGGCAGCTTGTTGATATTCAAACACCCTGACAGGTTGAGAACTTGAAGTGATGTCAAAGTAGCACAAAGGACGTCTGGCAGGCTCAGAAGATTCTTGCAGTCTCTGAGATTGAGCAGAGTAAGGCCACTCAAATGCTTGATTGATGTTGGTAGCTCTTCTATTGCTGTCCCATCTAAATGAAGTTTCCTTAAGTGTTTCATGTCTTCACCAATCTCTGGAAGCTTTTCAAGTTTGGAACATCCCGAAAGAATGAAATTTGTGAGAGATCTTAAGTTGATAATGTCAGGAACCTCAGACAAGCTTGTACAACCTTTAAGGATTAGCTGCTCAAGGTTCAGGACTTTGTCGAAGTCAGGGGTCTTGATCAACTTTTGACAATTACTTAGGTTGAGTATCAACAACTTTTCCAAAGGCTGCAGAGAATTTAACATAAAAAGCTTTCTCTGAAAGACTTAACTTGATATAAACAAATTCAACTTATGAAATGGACAGAGTAAGTAATCTTACCCTCTCAATTTCCTCCCATAATTGCTCTATTTCGCTTTCAGACAAGTTCAGTTCAACAAGTTTATCGGGTTGAAAATTTGAAGGCAGAGATTTTAAAGGATATTTGTGCCATTCCAAGAAGCTCAACTCATCTGAAAGATATTCAAGGCGTCCAGAAAATTCCACATTGTAAATCTTCAACAATCTTAGATTGTCCATGTTTGAGAATGGGTCTTTCTTCAAGTGTACTTTGTCTGGATGAGGCAAGCTTAGGAAAATACCTTGAACAGCATCTGTCCCCTAATAGCCATAGTAGAAAAATGTAAATTGAAACATAGGCATTGGAAAGCAAACTGGTTTCTCAATTTCATTAAATATTAGAGAGTAGTGTATGATTCTACTAAACTTCTCACCTTATTTCCCTTCAGTACATGAATGGCATCTGTATGAAGCCACAATCTGCTGCGTTCTCCTTCCTTTTTGGATTCTCCACAAACAACTTCTCTGCCCATTTGTTGTAGTAAATTGTGCATGCACAATTTTCCTCCAACGATACTCACTAAATATTTTTCACAAAGGATGTTTATATTGATGCCTGGATAGTAGCCACAACTTTCAAATATCTTTTCTACACGGCATGCATCCTCGCCTTTGAAGAAACACGCAATGTCCAAAAATATTTCCCGCTGTTCTTGATTCTCTAATCCATCAAAACTTTCTTTAAGATAATTAACAATTTTGTTCTTACCAGAGTAGTTATCATCTTTTAAAGAAGCCAATCTACTAGACCAATCTTCTACACTTCTGTTCAGTAAGGAGTTACCGAAAACTTCAAGAGCCAGAGGAAGACCATCAACGTAATCCAGAAATTCGTAACACAACTTCTCATAACCATCCATAGGATGGTCTTTTTTGAATGCTTTCCGGCAGAAGAGAAGAAGAGATTCATCTTGAGTAAGTTTCTCAATTGTGTATATTTTTGGATTATAATTTATCAACAACCTTTCATATGCTGTGGTTATGATGATTCTACTACCCTTACCAAACCGACTAGATAATTCTGCACCATCATTTCCAGCTACAGCTTCTATTTGTTCTAATTCATCCACGTTGTCAAGAATTATAAGCACCCGTTTGTTGCACAATCTCTTACATATCACATCATCGACATTCTTTGTAGTTACTTGTTGATTCAACAAGTGATCACAAAGTTGTTTCTTGATATGAAATAAACTTTCTTTTCTAGAGATCTCTCCAACCTTAGAAATTAAACTGAAAGCATCGAATTGATTGCGAATTCTTTGAGAAAGCGCTTTTGCCATGGTACTCTTACCAATCCCTGGCATCCCACAAATCCCTATTACACGAACTTCCTCAGACCCTATACTTAAACTCATGTTGGATTTAATTTGGTTTACACGATCCATACCAACAAAGTCCTTTATATCATTTGAGAATGTGTTAATCAAAACACCAAAAATACGTTCAACTATCTTTTCAATCACTATTGTATCGTTTCTGCAAAAAGGTTACAGCTTTATGTCAAGTGTTTGGTCATTACAAGTAATAACTAAAGACGAAAACATGTAAAACCTATTATGTTTTCTAGTTTTCCGTCCTCTCAACATGAACCCCATGTTATGTTTTTGATCTATCTGTTTCTTCTGTTGCTTTTGTTTTATAACTTCAAGTGATCCGAGGATCCATATTTGATCAAAGGAGCTAGTTTTGACCAACATCTACTATGAAAAAGATATAACTGAAACGTTTACCCCCAAAAAAAAAAACATAATAAAAAGCAGCAGCCTTACCTGTAATTTCTTATATCATATCCTGAGAGGTTGGCGATTGCAGTGAGAGATTTCTTCCACCTTGCCACCTCTCCTGGCTCTCCTTCGAAATCTTTTTTATGTTGAGCAAACCCCTCTTCAAAATGAACTCCAATCTGTTTTCGTGCTTTGGATGGCGTCACGCCAAAGAACACAGGCAAAATCAGTCTGGACTCGTTGTTTTCCACAAGTTCAACCATAGTGACAAGTTCATTCAGACACCATGCGGAGGTTGCATAGTTTGTTGAAAGAATGATGACTGATATTTGCGATTCTTCAGCTGCTTTGAAGAGTTCCGTTGAAACGGGTTCTCCACTTTCGAGTTGTTCAGCATCCATGAAAGTGTGGATTCCGTAGTGAATCAAGGCCTTGTACAAATTGTCAGTAAAACCTTTTCCAGTGTCGAAACCTCTAAAACTGAGGAACACCTCATATTTCGGTGAAAGGGTCGAGAAAGGAGGCAAAGCTAAGGAGGTTTGGGTGGTCATGGGATCGGCCATTGGAGAAAAACTAAATCAGTAACCAACCTGCTACCTGGCAATGAAAGCTTTGGCTACTTAAAATTATTTGCAAAACCAAAACTAGCTTGGTAGCTGAGTGCAATATAAGGCTTGAACGAACAAGACACTAAATAATCAGAGATTAATTAGTCTAAGTCAAGATTAGCTTCCTTTTAATCAAAAGATTGGGAATATTATAGGCAAACAGCCAAAAAAGCAGGAGGCTTCAGTCATCTTATTTTAAAGGGTAGGTAGATTGCAGAAGGAAACCAAGGACCTCTCACTCTTATTTTATGCCAACTTGTTTGATTTTCTGGTGTAAAAAGATAGCGTGGAACCTGAGACCAAAGAAAGATAAAAAATTATAGTGTGAACGATGGGCTCGTGCACTTCTCAAGAGGCAGGTCCACATACCATATATTTATTATAGAAAGACCTGAAAATGCGTACATATGGAAGCAATTTCCCACCAATTCCATATGGGAAGTGTGGGAACCGAATTAAATCATACCTTAGGTCAAATAATTCCTTCCATTTGGGGATTATTTGACCTATTTGGGAATTACTCAACCTAATTGGGAGTTACTCAATTTAATTGGGAGTTACCCAATTAAATTGAGAATTACCTAATTAAGTTGGGAATTGATTTGATTCCTACCCCAATTCCCAATTAAATGAGGAGTTACCTAATTAAATTAGGATTTGATCTGATACCTACCACGATTAGGGATTTGATTTACCCAAATAAATCAAATCCCTAATTAATCAAATCAATGCCAAATCAGGGAGGAATAATTCCTTACCAACTACGGAATTATTCCTCTGAAACCCTAATCTCCGAGACCATTATAAATACTTGGCTACGCACAAAGGTCAAGGTACGTCTAAATTCCTACTGAAACTCTGCAGAAATTATTTCTCACAAACCCTAGCCACCACTTTCTTTCTCTCTCTGACACAAGGCTCCGGCCACCACACACGGCTCCGGCCACCCGGTTTTCCTTGAAATACCCTACCTAACTTAGGCATCGGAGGGCCTTTGGCCAACACCCCCCGGGTGTGGTCCTTTTACCCCGATCTGTTTTGCAGGGAGAAAGAGAAGTGGAGAAGACGAAGGAATCTTAGACGAATATCCTCGTGAGGAAATTTGTACAAACAAATTGGTGCTTTCATTGAGAGCACGAGATATATTCAAAGCGTGCTCAAAATCCATCTTTCACACAGTTTTTTCAAACAACCATGGTTGATACAAGACGTACGAAGAGTAACGCCACCACGACGGGCCCATCTCATGGTTTCGTGGTGGAAACCTCAAGGCAACCGCACGGAATCATGGCTGCCAACGCCCTGCAGCCGTCTTCTAGTGCTTTGCAGCCGCCTTCAACTGCTGGAATTGCAGAACAGCCGCCACATGACCCTGGGACCTCCACAGCCTTGCAGTCGCCAGCGCCGATTACCGGAGCTGCTCTGCCTCGCTGTCCTGCCGTCGGAGCACAGCAACAGCCACACCACTTAACTACTGGACTTGCTGCACAGCCCCATGGCTACTCTGACATCGTCCCAGTCTTGGAGCAGATCCATTCTCTCCCTCCTATGCGATCACACTTGACATATGCACCTGTGTACGCGTCCAATGGAGCCCTAGCCCACATGCCGTTGGGCCCAAATGCACACCACCTACTTGACCCGGGCAGTCAGGTGGACCTTAACTCGCGGGTTGATCAACTCACACAGAAGGTCGATGATCAAAACAACCTGATTGGCCAGCTACTCAGGCAGATCAACTTGAATCAAGGCCCCAATCTTGGACCCCGTGACGAGGAGAGGAGGGCACACGAGCATGCTGGCGAGCAGTTCGAGAGGTCCCAGGCTAGTCAGACAAGGGCAAACCGGCAGGGAAGAGAGCGAGATCGGGCAGACGAGACGCAGACAGCTGTGAGCCGTACTCTGAGCCGTTCGAGGCTAGGACCCAGGACCAATGTGCTCGAGAGGCTAGGCCCACAACCCAATGTTCGTGCTCGCTTAGGTCCACAAGGAGCTCGAGTTCGTGAGCGGTCGCGGCGACAAGCTGTGGAGGGATCCTCCCAAACTCAACCTTCTCTCTTGCCCCATCGGCAGGGCAACCAAGGGGATCGACCCTTGGAAGCCGGAGAAGAAGTTAGCCGATCACGTTCGAGGCACCGAAGACGTCGACCTGAACGACCTTTCTTGCAAGCAGAGGATGACGATCAACGCTCACCAGCCCGCTCGAGGTCCAACATGCGGCGACAAGCTGTGGAGGGATCCTCCCAAACTCAACCTTCTCTCCTGCCCCACCGGCAGGGCAACCAAGGGGATCGACCCTTGGGAGTTGGAGAAGAAGTTAGCCAGTCACGCTCGAGACTCCGAAGGCGCCGACCTGAACGACCTTCCTTGCGAGCAGAGGGTGACGATCGACGCCCACCAGCCCGCTCGAGGACCAACACACGGCGACAAGGTGCAGAGGAATCCTCACAAGCTCAATCTCCTAATCTGCCTCACGGGCAGAGCACCCAAGGGGATCGACCCTTGGGAACCGAGGAAGAAGCTAGCCAGTCGCGCTCGAGGCACCGAAGACGTCGGCCCGAGACTCCAACCCTGCGAGCAGAGGATGTCGCAAAGCTGGTAAATGACCAACTCCGAGGTCTCCGACTCAAAGGAAGCGCGGAGGAGGCCCTGTGCAAGGAAATTGATCGAGTTGACCGCTCGCCCTTTACCGACGAGGTGGAACGAGCTCCGCCGCCGAAGCGGTTTACAACGCCATCCATCACTCCATTCAAGGGGGACTCTGACCCTGAGAGCCATTTGAGGCACTTCAAGAGCGCCATGATCCTGTACAAGGCAGACGACGCCCTGATGTGCAAAGTGTTCGCGATGACCCTGCGAGGAGCAGCTCAGGATTGGTTCCACACTCTACCGTCCGCGTCAATAGGCAACTTCATGGAGTTCGCCATCATTTTCACAAAGGAGTACACCTCCTACAAGACGGTCAGAAAGCATGCAGACCACTTGTTCAACCTGCGCAAGAAGCCAGACGAGTCTCTACGAGACTACCTGAGACGGTTTAAGGCTGAGAAGGCTAACATCATAGGATGCAACGACCAAGTTGCATCCTCAGCATTCAAAAAGGGCTTGCCAACCGAGCACGAGCTATACCGGGAGTTGGCCATAACTCCAAGTCAAACCTTGGCAGAAGTGTTTGCGACGGCAGAGCGCTACGCACTTTGGGACGATGATCGTATCGCCGCAAAGAAAGCTAGCAAGCAAGTTGACCACCCGACGAAGCAGGCAAGCCAAAAGAGCAACAAGTTCGAGCAAAAAGCCCGAGATAAGCACAGATCGCGGCCCCAAGAAACAGGGACCTTCACTGAGTTCGCTATTCCAATCCACCAGATCCTAGCTCAAGTGAAGGATAAGCCGTGGGTGAGGAGACCACCACCCATGAAGGGAGACCCCTCTAAAAGAGACGCCAGCAAATACTGCGCATTCCACGGGGAGCACGGTCATTACACCAACAACTGCAACGCTTGGAAAAGGCACCTTGAGGAGCTGGTCAGAGAAGGCCATTGCACAGAGTTCGTTGCAAAGAAGGCTATCCAGCAGATCGAGGATCGTGATGTAGCTGCCAAGGAACCTCCCCAAAAGGTCATACGAATCAACACCATTCTAGCCGACTCCCAAGAGTCCGGGCTGACCACCAAGGAGCGCAAGAGAAAGATCGCGCAGGCAACTTATGTCTCCCAAGTCACAACGGGAGTACCAGCTGTTGGGGATACACCTATCATTGGCTTCCAGAAGAAGGACTTGATCGGGCTGGACCTGCCACATAATGACGCCCTAGTCATCTGCATCCAAATTGAACAAGCTGTGATCGAGCGAGTTCATGTAGATGAGGGCAGCGCAGCCAACATCCTGCAACTATCTGTTATCCAACAGATGGGGTTCGAGCCCAAGATTAGCAAACTTGCCAGATCGCTCACCGGCTTCAATGGGGCCACATCAATCACTGTTGGAACGATCGACTTGGATGTCCACTCACCCCCAGTAGTCTGCTCGCAGACCTTCATGGTCATCGACGAGGTTTCCCCCTACAACGGAATCTTGGGCCGACCGTGGATCAGCAAGATCGAGGCCGTCACATCTGCTCTACATCAGAAGATCCGATATCCCATCCCTGGGGGCGGGATCGGGCAGATCAACAGTAACCAAGCCATGGCAAGGAGATGCACCGCCCAAGGGCTCAAGAAGAGCAAGCAGCTGCAGTTCACACCAGTAATGCAAGCTGCCAACGAGGCAGGAAGCGCTCTTAGCAGACAAGCAAACCCGAAAGGGAAGGAAGTTGCTGCCTCACAATAGCAGTTAAGGAACCAGGATCGAGACGAGGGAATCCGCCCGGAAGACTCCCCTGAAAAGGGTTGGAAGCCTGAGGATGACGTTGAGTTAGTACCCCCCGATCCTGACCAGCCAGACAAAGAGGCGCAGATCGGCTCGTGCCAGAATCCGAACAAGAAGGATCGAGACGAGGGAATCCGCCCGGAAGGCTCCCTTGAAGAAGGTTGGAAGCCTGAGGAAGACGTTGAGTTAGTACCCCCCGATCCTGATCAGCCAGAGAAGGAGGCGCAGATCGGCTCGCGCCAGAATTCAACCAAGAAGGATCGAGATGAGGGAATCCGCCCGGAAGGCTCCCTTGAAGAAGGTTGGAAGCCTGAGGAAGACGTTGAGTTAGTACCCCTCGATCCTCACCAGCCAGACAAGAAAGCGCGGATCGGCTCGCGCCTAAGCCCAGACGAGAAGATGGAGCTGACCATCTTCCTCCAGAACAACAAAGACATGTTCGCGTGGTCACCATCTGACATGCCTGGCATTGACCCAAATATCATCTGCCATCGGCTCCATGTCAACCCTGCTAGCAAGCCCGTGGTGCAGAAGAGACGCAACTTTGCTCCCGAGCGGGTCGCGATCATTGAAGCCGAGATCGACAAGCTCCTAGCTGCCGGTTTCATTAAAGAGGTCTCCTACTCGGAATGGCTGGCTAACGTTGTTCTGGTGGCGAAACAAGAAAAGGGAAAATGGAGAGTATGCGTTGATTACACCGACCTCAACAAAGCATGCCCTAAAGACAACTTCCCATTGCCGAGAATCGACCAGCTCGTGGATTCAACTTCCGGCAACCAGCTGCTCAGCTTCATGGATGCTTACTCCGGCTATAATCAAATTATGATGTACGATGATGACAAGGCGAAGACCTCTTTCATCATTGAAAGAGGGACCTACTGCTACAAGGTCATGCCCTTTGGGCTGAAGAACGCTGGAGCAACCTACCAAAGGCTCGTGAATAAAATTTTCAAGGAGCAGATCGGCAGAACCATGGAGGTGTACGTGGACGATATGCGGGTTAAAGCCCCCAAGCGGGCAGACCACCTCAAAAACCTCACCGAGGCGTTCAGCCTACTCCGCCAATATCGCATGAAGCTGAATCCAAGTAAATGCACGTTCGGTGTATCGTCTGGCCGGTTCCTAGGGTACTTGGTGACGCAACGAGGAATCGAGGCACACCCACGCCAAATCAAAGCCATTCTCGAGATGAAGTCGCCTTCCACAGTGAAGGAGATACAAAGCCTGACGGGCAGAGCAGCAGCCCTTAACAGATTCCTCTCAAAGTCTACCGACAAGTGCAGACCATTCTTCAAAGCTTTGAAGAAAGGACAAAAAGACAAATGGGACGAAGAGTGCGAAGTAGCTTTCCAGAATCTAAAGACCTACCTTACTTCACCTCCCTTGCTCTCAAAGCCAGTTCCTGGTGAAGACTTGTTCGTGTACCTGGCAGTGTCCAACTCGGCCGTCAGCTCAGCTCTCATTCGAGAAGAACTTGGGGCCCAACATCCGATATTCTACACGTCAAAAGCTCTCCTCGATGCAGAGACTCGTTACCCGAAATTGGAGAAGCTCATTTTGGCCCTTGTGGTTTCTGCGAGAAAGCTGCGACCTTATTACCAAGCTCACCGAGTCATCGTCATGACAGACTTTCCTTTGAGATCAATCCTCCACAGCCTGATGCTTCTCAGCGACTCATGAAGTGGGCTATAGAGCTAAGCCAATACGACCTCCTCTACCGGCCGAAGACTGCAATAAAAGCTCAAGCCTTAGCAGACTTTGTTGCAGAATTCACACCATCAGCCGAAGAAGAGAAGCTGGTCAGCAAAAAGAAGGAAAGTTCGAGAGCAGACAAGACCTCTACTGAACCTGACCAACCCAGAGACATGTGGCAGTTGCGCGTACACGGAGCGTCGAACCAGAAAGGAGCTGGAGCAGGCGTCGTCATCATCACCCCAGATGGAACCTTATTAGAGCAAGCTATCACGCTTGGCTTCCCGGCTTCAAACAACGAGGCAGAGTACGAGGCGTTGCTCGCTGGCTTGCGCTTGGCAAAGGAGCTATCAATAAAAAAGCTGGCCATCTACTCAGATTCCCAGCTGATCACAAGTCAAGCCTCAAGAGAATACATGGCGAAGCACCCAAGGATGATCTTGTACCTTGACAAAGTTCAAGAGTTGTTGAAGGCATTTCCCACCTTCACCATCCAGCAAGTTCCCAGAGCAGAGAACGCGCACGCAGATGCACTAGCAAGCTTAGGATCGGCGCTGGATACCCAGTTCAGACGTTCCATCCCGGTCGAGTACCTTGACCAGCCTAGCATAGAGGAGGCAGAGCAGCCGGACCTGATGCAGATCGATGAGGATCCTAGCTGGCAAGACCCAATTATTGACTATCTAGTGAATGAAAACCTGCCTAAGGGCAAGTCCGAGGCCAGAAAAATCAAGCAGAAGGCTGCAAGATACTACATGAAAAGCGACATGCTTATCCGCAGATCATACTCCGGGCCTTATCTCACTTGCATCAAGTACCCGCAAACGCTCGAGGTTCTCTGCAAGATACACGACGGTGAATGTGGAAATCACGCTGGGGGCAGCCACTGATTACTTCACCAAATGGATCGAGGTTGAGGCTTTATCTTATACCAAGGAGGCCGATGTTGAACAGTTCATCTGGAAGAACATTATTTGCATATTCGGTTGCCCGCAATCAATAGTCATCGACAACGGTACACAGTTAGTGGGCAGACAGACCACCGCATTCCTTGCGAAGTATGGCATCAAACAGCACATGTCAACTCCCAGATACCTGCAAGGCAATGGCTAAGTAGAGGCATCCAACAAGATCGTGCTGGACTGCCTAAAGGAAAGACTGGAATGCGCAAAAGGAAAATGGGTCGACGGGCTTCCAGGAGTCCTATGGGCTTATCGCACAACCAAAAGGAGATCAATCGGAGAGACCATTTTCCCTGGCCTATGGGAACAGAAGCAATCATTCCCCCACACATCACAGTCCCTTCCATGAGCATCGAGGTGGGCAGTCTTGACCAAAACTGCAAGCAGATGAAAGTCAACCTTGATCTGCTCGAAGAGGAACGAGGAAAGGTCATTGTTCGAGTTGCAGCTTATCAGCAACAGCTCACATCTTGCTACAATAAGAAGGCCATTGTTCGAGTTGCAGCTTACTAACAGTAGCTCACATCTTGCTACAATAAGAAGGCCATTGTTCGAGTTGCAACTTACCAGTAGCAGCTCACGTCTTACTATAGCAAGAAGACCATTGTTCGAGCAGCAGCAGCATACCATCAGCAGCTGGCATCTTACAACAACAAGACCATTGTTCGAGTTGCAGCTTACTAACAGTAGCTCACATCTTGCTACAATAAGAAGGCCATTGTTCGAGTTGCAGCTTACCAGCAACAGCTCACATCTTGCTACAATAATAAGACCATTGTTCGAGTTGCAGCTTACTAACAGTAGCTCACATCTTGCTACAATAAGAAGGCCATTGTTCGAGTTGCAACTTACCAGCAGCAGCTCTCGTCTTACCATAGCAAGAAGACCATTGTTCGAGCAGCAGCATACCATCAGCAGCTGGCATCTTACAACAACAAGGCCATTGTTCGAGTTGCAGCTTACTAACAGTAGCTCACATCTTGCTACAATAAGAAGGCCATTGTTCGAGTTGCAACTTACCAGTAGCAGCTCACGTCTTACCATAGCAAGAAGACCATTGTTCGAGCAGCAGCATACCATCAGCAGCTGGCATCTTACAACAACAAGACCATTGTTCGAGTTGCAGCTTACCAGCTCGACTCCAAGTAGGCGACGGGCCTCCTTCATCTCCATTGCAGACAAGCTGCTCCGCGAAGCACGAACTCAATGGAGTCTTTTTCGAGCATTGTGTCCCTGACATACGCTCGCAGGCGACAAGCCTCATCTTCATTGCAGACAAGCTGCTCCACGAAGCACGAACTCAATGGAGTCTTTTTTGAGCATTGTGTCCCTGACATACGCTCGCAGGCGACAAGCCTCATCTTCATTGCAGACAAGCTGCTCCACGAAGCACGAACTCAATGGAGTCTTTTCGAGCATTGTGTCCCTGACATACGCTCGCAGGCAACAAGCCTCATCTCCATTGCAGACAAGCTGCTCCACGAAGCACGAACTCAATGGAGTCTTTTTCGAGCATTGTGTCCCTGACATACGCTCGCAGGCAACAAGCCTCATCTCCATTGCAGACAAGCTGCTCCATGAAGCACGAACTCAATGGAGTCTTTTTCGAGCATTGTGTCCCTGACATATGCTCGCAGGCGACAAGCCTCATCTTCATTGCAGACAAGCTGCTCCACAAAGCATGAACTCAATGGAGTCTTTTTCGAGCATTGTGTCCCTGACATACGCTCGCAGGCGACAAACCTCATCTCCATTGCAGACAAGCTGCTCCACGAAGCACGAACTCAATGAAGTCTTTTTCGAGCATTGTGTCCCTGACATACGCTCACAGGCGACAAGCCTCATCTCCATTGCAGACAAGTTGCTTCATGAAGCACAAACTCAATGGAGTCTTTTTTCGAGCATTGTGTCCCTAACATACGCTCGTAGGCGACAAGCCTCATCTCCATTGCAGACAGGCTGCTTTACGAAGCACAAACTCAATGGAGTCTTTTTCGAGCATTGTGTCCCTGACATGCACTCTCAGGCGACAAGCCTCATCTCCATTGCAGACAAGCTGCTCCACGAAGCACGAACTCAATGGAGTCTTTTTCGAGTATTATGTCCCCGACATATGCTCGCAGGCGACAAGCCTCACCTCTACTGAAGACAAGCTACTCCTCGAGTACAAACTTCATGGAGTCTTTTCAAGCGTCATGTCCCCGACATACGCACACAGGCGACGAGCCTTACCTCCATTGTAGGCAAGCTACTTCACGAGTACAAACTCAATGGAGTTTCTTTCAAGTGCTGTATCTCCGAATATACACTTACAAGATACAATGAGAATTGAAGTTTGAAAGACAACTGAAAATTCCATAACAAAGCGGCCGACAAGCACCATCTACTCAATGGCCTCACCTGCCTGCTCCTTCGCATCTGGCCTAGCCTTATCAGCTACGCCACCTTGGGAGTTGTCTTCCTCCATTGCCGCTTCATCTGCTATTTGCTCTTCAACTGCTTCTTCATCCACAACATTGCTCTGCTCACTTTGAGCAGGGGCAGGTCAAGATAAAGCTACTTACCGTCTTCATGTTCGAGAGGGCAACAAGGAGAAGCAATATTCATGCAATCCAAGTATCCCAGCTTGTACGCATTAGCAACGACCTCATGCTTGGATGCCTCCGTGGCTTCAACATGAGTGTCGAACTTGACCAGCGGAGCTATCACCAACTTCTGGATCGGCAGTTCGCGCAACTTAAGGACTCTTTGCTCGAGCAGACGACTCTTTAGCTCTCTTGGCCGAAACTCGCAACATTAAGTCAGCTCCGTGCTTGACTGTTCGTGGCTTTGCAGACGAGTCGTGATTTCTAGACAAATGTACAGTCCTCTCAGTTTGATCCCAAGATCGGCACAAGCAACTCAAACCCTGCTTCTCAACAGCCTCCTCACAGGGTAGATCATGGGTTTTAAGCAGTTCGAGCGGATACCTGAGCCGAATGTCCCAGACCTCCTGCATGCCATTGATCTTCTTACTGTTCGTGCTGACAAGGCGCTTGATCCTGGCAGATGAAGAAGCAACTCCCATGGGGACATTCCCAGCAAACGAGACCCCCTTACGGAAGACTTGCTCGTGGAAGAATGAGGAAGCTTGGTCGAGGACTTCTCCCGCTCAACTGGCAAATCATCTAGGTCCGAGCCATGCAGCTCCCATCTTTCAACATCTTCGGCTGGGGGCAGACCATCAGCCTCCTTCTGATGTTCACTCAGCAACCAGCGCAATCCACAGAACCTGGCAAGGATGTTTAAAGCTTGATGAACATTGATCGTGTTCGAGCCGAGATTGAGCTTCTTGTGGATGTCATTTTCTACAAGCATGAGACAGAAGTCAGTCAAACACACAGCAAAGAATTCCATGGCAACTGTAGCAGATCATAGGGATGCAACTTACCATCACAGTAGGTGAGAGGAATGAGCGGACCGTCGCCAACCTCCCCTACCCGTCTGCCGCTGACTTCCAACATGTCCGTGCTCCACACGTGATCGCCTTGACTCATACTGTTCCTAGTTCGTGACACAAAAAGAAGAAGGAATTGAAGCAGTTTGGATCAACCACAAATAAGCCGACCCAAACTGCCACCTGCTCCAGCAGAAGGCCAGCTTGCCTCCAGCCCAGTTATAGCTGGACAACCCAAGTCAAAGACCAGTTGGCAAGTCAAAAGCCTCCTCCATTCAGGAGCCCAAATCCAAGGAGGAAGCCCAGTTACAGCTGGACAGCCCAACAAACAATTCACATCTCCTACATGCCACCACGTGCCATGCAGAAGCTGGGGGGCATTTGTGGGAACCGAATTAAATCATACCCTAGGTCAAATAATTCCTTCCATTTGGGGATTATTTGACCTATTTGGGAATTACTCAACCTAATTGGGAGTTACTCAATTTAATTGGGAGTTACCCAATTAAATTGAGAATTACCTAATTAAGTTGGGAATTGATTTGATTCCTACCCCAATTCCCAATTAAATGAGGAGTTACCTAATTAAATTAGGATTTGATCTGATACCTACCACGATTAGGGATTTGATTTACCCAAATAAATCAAATCCCTAATTAATCAAATCAATGCCAAATCAGGGAGGAATAATTCCTTACCAACTACGGAATTATTCCTCTGAAACCCTAATCTCCGAGACCATTATAAATACTTGGCTACGCACAAAGGTCAAGGTACGTCTAAATTCCTACTGAAACTCTGCAGAAATTATTTCTCACAAACCCTAGCCACCACTTTCTTTCTCTCTCTGACACAAGGCTCCGGCCACCACACACGGCTCCGGCCACCCGGTTTTCCTTGAAATACCCTACCTAACTTAGGCATCGGAGGGCCTTTGGCCAACACCCCCCGGGTGTGGTCCTTTTACCCCGATCTGTTTTGCAGGGAGAAAGAGAAGTGGAGAAGACGAAGGAATCTTAGACGAATATCCTCGTGAGGAAATTTGTACAAACAGGAAGGATTTCATTAGAGGAATATGACGAGGAACTATCTTTTTTCAGTTTCTCTATATCCCAACACATTCAAAAGTTAATAGATTCAAAAGTTGTATTTTTTTAAACGAAAAAACCATAGCCGAGAGAGAGAGAGAGAGAGAGAGAGAGAGAGAGAGAGAGAGAGAGAGAGAGAGAGAGAGAACACTTAAGATTTAAGGGGTTTTCCCCCAATTCTCACTTTCTTCGATTTTTGGCGGATCTATGTCGATATGGTCTTTCTTGACAGATCTATTGTTCATGCCACGAATCTGGGCTGACTTTTGATGTGTGCGCGTAGGGGGATGTTGTCATGGTAGAGATACTGTTGATTGGTGTGTTGGGCGCTCTCTATGTCATGTCTCGGAGGAAGATTAGCGACGTTTATTCTTCCTTTTATAAGCGTTTTAGATTTTTATATTCTTGGTCTTTTTTGGTCAATAAAGTCCAAAAACTCTATGAGTTGTCTGCATTTTTCACTCGTAATTACAAAATTGGTTGAGTTTGATGGGTGTCCTTAGGAGAGTCATGTCAATTAACAGTCATTTGGGGAAATTATATGGCAATAGAAAGGAATGATAGAAAAGTTATTTTCAAGAGTGATTCTCTTTAGATCGTTTCAACTTTTCGGCAAGCTCATGTCACTAGGGAAATTTGAGATCATAGAATGAAAGTGCGTGTTACAAAGAGTTTATAGCATTTTCAATCAATTTTTTCCTTTCTTATCTGACAACGACGTCATATAGTGCAATATGGTCTGCTTAATCTCTTCCTCTTCATGCTGATATACAAGACGTAGCCCACACTCGTGCACAGTAAATGCTTCGTGATCGCTAGCAAATGAAGCCTCCAGGACATCACATTCATTCAACTGATCTGAAAACCACGCTCGTGGTATATAGGATACCCAAATGAATCCTCCAAAAGGCAACCATTGGAATTCTTCGTTGGTGGTGCAATAGTCATGGATAGGTTCTATTGTACCTCTGTCCGACTCCAAGTGACATATTAGGTGGTGAGAAATTTCTGGATTCAAATTGTCAAGGTCGGTAGTTGAGCGGTCGAGGACTGAAAAGTATGCACATAAAGCTAGTCCTATCCAGTTTGTGTCTTCATATAGATTTGGTGGTAGAGGGATTTTTACAGAGGGGCCACTGCTTTGATGCCCGAACCACTCTACAATCTGATTTGGAAGGTAACAAGAATTATATTTTGAGTCACGTTCAAAGACCTGCAAAATATGAGAGAGATGTCAGGATACAGAGAGAGAGAGAGAGAGAGAGCAAAGGTTCAAATTAAATCTTTACCAGGAGCTGATTCTGATCTGAGCTCATGTTGTTGGTAGGACCAAAGGAACGGCGAAAGTCCTGTAATGGAGGAAATGGTATTGTTTTTCTTCCATGTTGAGAGTCCTCAGCAGAATAAGTTTCTGGACGGAAATCGAAAGGCATGAAAGGAGGACAAACTTCGCTGACAGAGCTGTGCTCGCTGGTTTTGGCTGCTTCAACCAGATTCGTTAGCAAACTTGTAGCTCCCAAACTAATTCCCTTATATTTCTTGGTATCTGTAAAATCACCAGTTCCGTAGTAAGCAGGCCGATCATTGGTGCAATGGACGATTGTTCGGATCAACCCTTTCAAATCTTGGTTGTATACTAGACGCATCCCACACATTTCAACCTCCACACCTGGAGTTCTACATCCAAATAAAGCCTGAATGAAATGACAGCGATTAAGACGTTCCGGAAAGCGTACTCGTGGTATATGAATAATGAGGAGTCGATGTGACCCCACATTGTCATCCCAGACGGAAGATAACATTAGGCGATGCATCAGTTGCTCATGGCCCACAACCTCAATAGGTGTATACAAGTGACACTCATAGAAAGTGCGAAAAAGCGGAAGACCTGGAGGCAGAGCACATACAACGTAGAGAGAAAGTCCTGCCCATTTCTCATTGTTGTGCAGATTTGGAGGAAGACGTAAGTTTACTGTGCATGCAGACGTACTGCTTTGTTCACTAAACCACGGTAATCTTTCTCGTAGACAAAAAATAAAACCATAATCATAGAGATTCGGAAGGCCCCGCTGTAATCCCTAGACAAAGATATGTATGGAAACTCATGATATCAGTAATTCAGTAATCATTGTTTTTGTGTGTTTGAGAGAGAGAGAGAGAGAGAGAGAGAGAGAGAGAGAGAACCTCGAATAGTTTTTTAAGCAATGACTCCACGTTTCTTCTCAATTGACCCACAATCCGGGTTGAAGTAGTAATTTCTTGTTCCTGTACTTCTTCTTGTTCAGTTTGAACCCCACTTATCGACGGAATACTTCTCATACCATCTTCTTCTTGTTCAGGCTGATAGCCGTGATAGCAATAACTATAGTGTTTATTCAATTTCTGGACGAATTTGGGCACATCTTCCAAGTATATGAGACTCACCCCGCACCCTGTAACCCTTGTCCCTGTGCTATCAGGTGTAATTGTAGCTTGGATCAAGCGTTTATTCGAACTTTCTGCAAGGTCACTCTGTGGTATAAAATACCAATGTATAAATGGTCCAGCGAAATTGCAATCACGGTAATCAAGCGCAAGGAGACGTTCATGAGGATCTTCAGTTGTACAGAGTTCAATACGGTGATTGCGAGTGAATTTTAACCCCAATTCCTCATCAAATTCTGGTACATCTTCCAAACTATCATGCTTCTGAGCTGCTTCACAAATAAAGCACAGAGCAAGTTTTATCCATTTACTCTTACCATCTACATCACGAGGCAGCGGGATTGTTATGGTGGATTCAGTACTCCGACGGCTCAACCATGCTGGAATTTCATTCGATCGATAACCATATTCAAACCTTTCATCACGCCGAATGGCACCCTATAAAATAGAAGTAAAAGAAAGATAAGTAAAAAAAGTTAATTTGAGAGAGAGAGAGAGAGAGAGAGAGAGAGACGACCTCAAAGAATGTTTGATAGAATGGCCACAATAGATGTTTATCAGGTAACCAAACGCCTGAGCTATGTCGTCGTGTCTTTGGCGATTTAGAAAACTGAATCCGGCAGCAGCTGAAGGCCACACCGTTATTTTATTTGAATGTGCTCCCTGCAGGAGAGGACAATTATGTACACTTACAGCTCTTATGCTAAATGGAAGTCGTGGCAATGATTGAAGCATGCTACAACCATCCAAAACAAGTTCTTCAAGCTGAGACAGCTGAGAGATGCTTTCAGGTACTTGGCTTATAGCAGTCCCGCTAGCATAAAGCTCCTGTAAACATTCTAAACTGCCCAAGTTCTCTGGTAACTCATTAAGATTCGAACATCCTGAGAGGTTGAGAATTTGAAGTGATGTCAAATTAGTACAAATGACATCTGGCAGAGTCAAAAGGTTCTTGCATTCTCTGAGATTGAGCAGAGTAAGGTCAGTCAAATGCTTGATTGATGTTGGTAGCTCTTGTATAGCTGTCCTGCATGCATAGAGCTCCTGTAGACATTCTAAACTCCCTAAATTTTCTGGTAACTCATTAAGATTGGAACAACCTGAGACGTTGAGTATTTGAAGTGATGTCAAACTAGTACCAATGACGTCTGGCAGACTCAAAAGGTTCTTGCAGTCTCTAAGATTGAGCAGAATAAGGCCAGTCAAATGCTTGATTGATGTTGGTAGCTCTTCTATTGCTGTCCCATCTAAATGAAGCTTCCTTAATTGTTTCATGTCCTCCCCAATCTCTGGAAGTTTTTTGAGTTTGGAACAACCCGAAAGAATGAAATTTGTGAGAGATCTCAAGTTGATATCGTTGGGAACCGCAGACAAGCTTGTACAACCTTTAAGGATTAGCTGCTCAAGGTTTGGGACTTTGTCGAAGTCAGGGGTCTTGATCAACTTTTGACAATCACTAAGGTTTAATACCGCCAGCTTTTCCAAGGGCTGTAAAGAAATTCATAAAAATAAAATAACAAAAACAAAAGTAGTATATAATTCATAAACAAATTCATACCATAGACTAAGGTTGAGTTAACTTGATAAACGAATTCAACATAAGAAACGGACAGAATAAATAATCCTACTCTCTCAATTTCCTCCCATAATTCCTCTATTTCGCTTTCAGACAAGTTCAGTTCAACAAGTTTGTCGGGTTCGAAACTTGAAGGCAGAGATTTTAAAGGACATTTGTGCCATTCCAATAAGCTTAACTCATCTGAAAGATATTCAAGACATCCAGAAAATTCCACATTGTAAATCTTCAACAATCTTAGATTGTCCATGTTTGAGAATGGATCTTTCTTCAAGTGTACTTTGTCTGGCTGAGGCGAGCTTAGGAAAATACCTTCAACAGTTTTTGTCCCCTAATAGCCACAGTAGAAAAATATTTATACTATTAGCAACAAAAAATCAAAAATTCAATATTCAAATAAAGTGGATATGTTATCTTGAAATTATTAATAAACAACTTTTTAATCTAAGTAAATATTAGTGATGTGTTCATTAGGGAGTGCTCTATGATTCTTCTAAACTTCTCACCTTATTTTTCTTCAGTACAGGAAGGGCAACTGTATGATGCCACAATCTGCTGCGTTCTCCTTCCTTTTTGGATTCTCCACGAACAATATCTCTGCCCATTTTTTGTAGTAAATCATGCATCCACAATTTTCCTCCTACCATACTTACTAAATATTTCTCACAGAGGATGTCCATATTGATGCTTGGATAGTAACCACAACTTTCAAATATCTTTTCTAGACGACATACATCCTCGCCTTTGAAGAAACATGCAGTGTCCAAAAACATGTCCTTCTGTTCTTGATTCTCTAATCCATCAAAACTTGCTTTAAGAACACCAATAATTTTCTCCTCACCAGAGTAGTTATTATCGTTTAAAGACTTCAATTTAGTAGACCAATAGTCTTCTTTTCTGTCCCGTAAGGAGCGACCGAAAACTTCAAGAGCCAATGGATGACCATCAATGTAATCTACAAATTCGTTAGACAACTTCTTAAAAGAATCCTTGGGATGGTCTGTTTTGAGGGCTTTCCGACAGAAGAGAAGAAGAGCTTGATCCGGAGTAAGTTTCTCAATTGTGTATATTTCTCGGTGCTTATAATATATCAACAACCTTTCATCTGTTGTGGTTACGATGATTCTACTTCCCTTACCAAACCGATTGGATAAGCCTGCACCGTCACTTCCACCTACAGCTTTTATTTGTTCTAATTCATCCACGTTGTCAAGAATTATAAGCACCCGTTTGTCACGCAATCTCTTACATATCACATCATCGACATCCTTTGTGGTTACTTTCTTATCCAACAAGTGATCACAAAGTTGTTTTTTGATATGAAATAAGCCTTCTTTTTTAGATATCTCTCCAACCTTAGAAATGAAACTGATAGCATCAAATTGACTGCGAATTCTTTGACAAAGAGCTTTTGCAACAGTACTCTTACCAATCCCTGGCATCCCACAAATCCCTATTACACGAACTTCTTCCGAAGCCATACACAAACTCATTTTGGATTTAATTTCATTTACACGATCCATACCAACGAAGTCCTTTAAATTATTTGAGAATGTGTTAATCAAAACACCAAAAATACGTTCAACCATCTTTTCAATCACTGTTGTCTCGTTTCTGCAAAAAGGTTACAGCTTTATGTAAAGTGTTTGGTCAATGCAAGTAATAACTAAAGACGAAAACATGTAAAACCTATCATGTTTTGTAGTTTTCCGGCCTCCCAACATGAACCCTTCTAATGTGATGCGGACTTCACCTGTACTTTAAGAAAAAGGTGTTTACGATTTACTACTTAGGTTTAAAGGTTGGCAGGTTTGTATAGACATCTATAAGTTCAGTTTTTGATCTATCTGTTTCTTCTGTTGCTTTTGTTTTTTTTTAACTTTCTTGGAATGTGACTGTGGAAAGTGATCCGAGGATCCGTATTTGATCAAAGGCGCTAGTTTTGACCAACATCTACCATGAAAAAAATATAACTGAAATGTTTACCCCAAAAAAGAAAATACTTAATAAAAAGCAGCAGCCTTACCTGTAATTTCTTATATCATATCCTGGGAGGTTGGCGATTTCAGTGAGAGATTTCTTCCACCTTGCCACCTTTCCTGGCTCTCCTTCGATATCTTTTTTATGTTGAGCAAACTCCTCTTCAAAATGAACTCCAATCTGTTTTCGTGCTTCGGATGGCGTCACGCCAAAGAACACAGGCAAAATCAGTCTGGACTCGTTGTTTTCCGCAAGTTCAACCATAGTGACAAGTTCATTCAGACACCATGCGGAGGTTGCATGGTTTGTTGAAAGAATGACGACTGATATTTGCGATTCTTCAGCTGCTTTGAAGAGTTCCGTTGAAACGGGTTCTCCACTTTCGAGTTGTTCAACATCCATGAAAGTGTGGATTCCGTAGTGAATCAAGGCCTTGTACAAATTGTCAGTAAAACCTTTTCCAGTGTCGAAACCTCTAAAACTGAGGAACACCTCATATTTCGGTGAAAGGGTCGAGAAAGGAGGCAAAGCTAAGGAGGTTTGGGTGGTCATGGGATCGGCCATTGGAGAAAAACTAAATCAGTAACCAAACCTGCTACCTCGCAATGAAAGCTTTGGCTACTTAAAATTATTTGCAGAACCAAAACTAGCTTGGTAGCTGAGTGCAATATAAGGCTTGAACGAACAAGACACTAAATAATCAGAGATTAATTAGTCTAAGTCAAGATTAGCTTCCTATTAATCAAAAGATTGGGAATATTATAGGCAAACAGCCAAAAGAGCAGGAGGCTTCAGTCATCTTATTTTAAAGGGTAGGTAGATTGCAGAAGGAAACCAAGGATCTCTCACTCTTATTTTATGCCGACTTGTTTGATTTTCTGGTGTAAAAAGATAGCGTGGAACCTGAGACCAAAGAAAGATAAAAAATTATAGTGTGAACGATGGGCTCGTGCACTTCTCAAGAGGCAGGTCCGCAAACCATATATTTATTATAGAGAGACCTGAAAATGCGTACATATGAAAGCAATTTCCCACCAATTCGATATGGGAAGGATTTCATTAGAGGAATATGACGAGGAACTATCTTTTTTCAGTTTCTCTATATCCCAACACATTCAAAAGTTAATAGATTCAAAAGCTGTATTTTTTTAAACGAAAAAACCATAGCCGAGAGAGAGAGAGAGAGAGAGAGAGAGAGAGAGAGAGAGAGAGAGAGAGAGCACTTAAGATTTAAGGGGTTTTTCCCCAATTCTCACTTTCTTCGATTTTTGGCGGATCTATGTCGATATGGTCTTTCTTGACAGATCTATTGTTCATGCCACGAATCTAGGCTGACTTTGGATGTGTGCGTGTAGGGGGATGTTGTCGTGGTAGAGATACTGTTGATTGGTGTGTTGGGCGCTCTCTATGTCATGTCTTGGAGGAAGATTAGCGATGTTTATTCTTCCTTTTATCTGTGTTTTAGATTTTTATTCTTGGTCTTTTTTGGCCAATAAAGTCCAAAAATCTATGAGTTCTTTGCGTTTTTCACTCATAATTCTAGAATTGGTTGAGTTTGATGGGTGTTCTTAGGAGAGTCATGTCAGTTAACAACCATTTGGGGAAATTATGGCAATAGAGAGGGATTATAGAAAAGTTATTTTCAAGAGTGATTCTCTTTAAATCGTTTCAACTTTTTGGCTAGCTCATGTCACTGGGGAAATTTAAGATCATAGAATGAAAGTGCATGTTACAAAGAGTTTATAGCATTTTCGATCATTTTTGTTGTTGTTGGAGTTTTGATGAATTTGTGGAGAATTTTGGATTTATAGGTCTGAGGCTTGAATTGGGTCTACGGCTAAACACAAGAGTCCAGCGCCAAGCCAAGTCGAGAGGTTCCAAATATCGAGTTTTGTTAACTGAAGTGCAATGCATGTATGGTGATGTAAATTTGGTGAATGACAAAGAAACGCAAACAAAAAAAAACAAAAAAAAGATTTGAAAAATGAAAACATTGTTTTAAAAAATAAGGGTGACTTTGAAAACTGATAATTTTTTTAGAGTGCTGCTAAACAAACCCTAAAATTAACTGTGTATACCCTATGATCTAAGTACACCCTATTTAACTACCAAAAATATCATTGGTAATACACTGTATTACACAACACCTTAATACCAATCCTTCTTTTTTATGAGTGTTATACTTTTCCAGCTCTTACTTGTTGCAATTTCTACACTCATGAATCTCAATGTCTATAATTTATTTAAATTTTTTACTTTGGGAGGAAAGTAAGGGCATAGAAGACTTTGGTGATGTTATTAGAGAAGCCGGTGGAAATATCAATGTCTGCAATTTATTTAATATTCCTTACTTTCTCATCTTCTTCAACCTTAAATTAAGTAAACCTACTTGTGTGATTATTTGTTGGTTGATATCCAGCTTGATGTCTTGTTATAATCTACTTGTATTCAGTGACTAAAATTAATTCTTTTTCTTTTGTCATGAAGGCTATATTGCAGCTGACAGAATCAGGTTTATTTTTCCTCCAGGTTGATCTGTTTAAAGTACGTGGGAACTTTACCTTATCATATGTTTATGAAGATTGTTTTTTACTTTGCAAAGGGAAAAATCTTCTAGTCACTCATCGAAAATTGATACTGTTACAAGTAAGTTAGCAGGATTAGAACCATTGCTATCTATCCCTTCCTATCTGCTATACACCATTCAACGACACCTCCTTGTGCCTTCGTTAGTGCTCGCGGCGTTGTTCGTGGGCACCAAGTAATGTGAAAACTTCTCTGTGTTTAATTAGAGCTGAATATGGTGAGTATGGTATACTTATTAAAATTATATTTATTTCACAATTCAATATATTCTTTTTAGTTATTTATGTTATGGTAAATTAGTAATTTAATAAATAATTTGGTGATAGGATATACCCAGCTAATTTTAAAATTTGTTTAACAGCACTCTTTTTTCAAAAACTGAAAACGAAATCTATTATCAAATATGTTTTCAGTTTTCAGTTTTTGAAAAAAAATGAGTGAAAATAAAACCTGAACACTGAACACTAATTTGACTAATTAGTCCAATTTGACAAGTTAAAACAAGTTGCCAGGTCTAGTATGACAAGTTCAATTTGACAAGTTCATTACTTCACTTTTTTTCCAAACAGAAAAGAAGAATTCAGAGGAACAATGTTTCCCGGGTTGCCCGATCTCCAGTTAACTCAGCTGTAAGAGAGAATTTGAATGTATAAAATCCAGATGTCACTTGCAGTCATCTTTGCCAATGGATTGAAGGACCCTCCTTCTCAGTTTGTCCTGATACTTGATAGAGTTCTTCAACGGAAGCCATAGCTTCTGTAGCAGACAAATTTGGAGGGTTGAAGAAATAATCATGGGCGTGCTCAATCTTCAGCTCGCCGACATCGGGTACGTCAAAATTTGATCTTTTTTTATTTATTGAATATCTTTTGGTTCCCACTGTCATATGCATTTTCATTTGTATGAATTCGTATTTATTTTGCCCTGTTTTTGCTTCAAAAGAAGAACAGCATTTAGTAACTAACCTAAATTACCCAATTAAGCTGTAATAAGAAGAAGTGCTCTGTTGTAATCCACCATTAAAATAGATAGTAAATTAGCTGTGGAAACGCATATAATGATCAAATACTTAATCAACCCCACTTTTTTTTAATAGAAAAAAAAATAAAATCTAACCACTCTGTAATTCAACCAGTAAAAGATTATGACTTTCATAATGGACTTCGACTGAGAACTAGATGAATGCTTGACTGCATCAATATATTGAGAAGGAGTTCCCAATGTAGCAAAATCTGCTAATGAGGAGAAGTTATTCCAGTCCTTAGTTTACCCTTAGTGTCATTGATCCTGCTCAACGGGCGGTGAGGGTGTTGCTTATTTTTCCCTTTCTTATCTGAGAACGAGATATGGTCTGCTTAAACTCTTCCTCATCATGCTGATATACAAGACGGAGCCCACACTTTTGCACACTAAAGGCTTCATGATCGCTTGCAATTGAAGCCTCTAGTACACCGCATTCATTCAGCTGATCCGAAAACCATGCTCGTGGTATATAGGATACCCAAACGAATCCTCCAAGATGCAACCATAGGAATTCTTCGTTTGTGGTGCAGTAGTCATGCAAAGATTCTAGACTGTCTCTATCTGATTCCAAATTACATATAAGGTGGTGAGAAATTGCTGGAATATCCAAATTGTCAATGTCGACAGTTGGACGCTCCAGGACTGAAAAGTATGCACATACAGCTAATCCTATCCAATTGCTGTCTAAGTTTAGATTATGTGGCAGTGAGATTGTTGCCGAGGAGTCATTGCTTTGATGGCCGAACCACTCTAGAGTTATGCTTGAAGGGAAACATGAGTTATATATGGAGTGACAATCAAAGTCCTGTAAAAGAGAGACAAGGTGTCAAGGTGTTATATATGTTTGTGTGTGTGTGGAGAGAGAGAGAGGGAGAGAGAGGGAGGGAGGGAGGGAGTGAGTCATACCCATTTCTCATCACTAGGCCTTCCTAATCTTTCGAGATGAGGTTTCACAATATAGCTGCTAGGCCTACTAGATGATCCCGCGTCACCCGTGGGGCATTGCTTATTTTTTCCTTTCTTATCTGACAATGACATCACATAGTGCAATATGGTCTGCCTAATCTCTTCCTCGTCATGCTGATATACAAGACGTAGCCCACACTCGTGCACAGTAAATGCTTCATGATCACTTGCAAATGAAGCCTCCAGGACATCACATTCATTCAACTGATCTGAAAACCACGCTTGTGGTATATAGGATACCCAAATGAATCCTCCAAAAGGCAACCAGTGGAATTCTTCGTTGGTGGTGCAATAGTCATGGAGAGGTTCTATTGTACCTCTGTCCGACTCCAAGTGACATATTAGGTGGTGAGAAATTTCTGGATTCAAATTGTCTAGGTCAGCAGTTGGATTATCCACGATTGAAAAGGATGCGCATAAAGCCAATCCTATCCAATTAGTGGCTCTATATAAATGTGGTGGTAGTGGGACTCTTATCGAGGAGCCACTGCTTTGATCCCCAAACCACTCCAGAGTGATGCTTGAAGGGAAACAAGAATTATACATAGAGTGACAACCAAAGTTCTGTAAGGGAGAGACAAGGTGTCAGATATATAAATAGAGAGAGAGAGAGAGAGAGGAGAGAGAGAATCATACCCATTTCTTATCATTGGGCTCCTCTGATCTTTCAATATGGGGATTTACAATGTTGCTGCCAGTTATACCAGATGATCCTGCCTCGCAGTTCTGGTATTGCTCATCTTTTCCGTGATTAATATCTGACAAGGAGGTCATGCAGTGCATTATGGTCTCCTTAAGCCCTTCCTCATCTTCCAGATATATAAGACGAAGCCCACACCTATGCACACCCAATCTTCCGTGATCACTTCCAATTGAAGCCTCCAGGTGGCGTCGTTCTTTCAACTGATCTGAAAACCAGCATCGTGGTATATAGGACAGCCAAATGAATCCTCCCATGCAATACAACCACTCAAATTCTTGACTGTTGGTGCAATAGCCATGGAGAGCTTCCAGACAACCTTTATCAGTTTCCAATACACATGTAAGGTTGTGAGAAATTTCAGGATTCAAATTGTCAAGGTCGGTAGTTGAGTGGTCGAGGATTGAAAAGTATGCACATAAAGCTAGTCCTATCCAGTTGGTGTCTTCACATAGATTTGATGGTAGAAGGATTTTCAGAGGGGCCACTGCTTTGATGCCCGAACCACTCTACAATCTCATTTGGAGGGAAACAAGAATTATATTTCAAGTCACACTCAAAGTCCTGCAAAATATAAGAAAGATATCAGGATCGAGAGAGAGAGAGAGAGAGAGAGCAAAGGCTCAAATTAAATCTTTACTAGGAGCTGATTCTGATCTGAGCTCATTTTGTTGGTAAGATTAAAGGCACTGCCAAAGAACTGTAGTGGATGAATTGGTGTTGTTTTTCTTTCATGTTGGGAGTCCTCAGCAAAATAAGTTCCTGGACGGAAATCTATAGGCATGAAAGGAGGACAAACTTCACTGACAGAGCTGTGCTCGCTGGATTTGGCTGCTTCAAGCAGATTCGTTAGCAAACTTGTAGCTCCCAAACTAATTCCCTTATATTTCTTGGTTTCTGTAAAATCACCAGTTCCGTAGTAAGCAGGCCGATCATTGGTGCAATGGGCGATTGTTTGGATCAACCCTTTCAAATCTTGGTTGTATACAAGACGCATCCCACACATTTCAACCTCCACACCTGGAGTTCTACATCCAAATAAAGCCTGAATGAAATGACAGCGATTCAGACGTTCCGGAAAGCGTACTCGTGGTATATGAATAATGAGGAGTCGATGTGACCCCACATTGTCATCCAAGGAGGAAGATAACATTAGGCGATGCATCAGTTGCTCATGGCCCACAGCCTCAATAGGTGTATACAAGTGACACTCATAGAAAGTGCGAAAAAGCGGAAGACCTGGAGGCAGAGCACAGACAACGTAGAGAGAAAGTCCTGCCCATTTCTCATTGTTGTGCAGATTTGGAGGAAGACGTAAGTTTACTGTGCATGAAGACGAACTGCTTTGTTCACTAAACCACGGTAATCTTTCTCGCAGACAAAAAATAAAACCATAATCATAGAGATTCGGAAGGCCCCGCTGTAATCCCTAGACAAAGATATGTATGGTAATCATGATATCAATAATTCAGTCATCATTTTTTTGTGTGTTTGAGAGAGAGAGAGAGAGAGAGAGAGAGAGAGAGTACCTCAAATAGTTTTTCAAGCAATGACTCCACGTTTCTTCTCAATTGACCCACAATCCGGGTTGAAGTAGTAGTTTCTTGTTCCTGTACTTCATCTTGTTCAGTTTGAACCCCACTTGTCAACGGAATACTTCTCATACCATCTTCTTCTTGTTCAGGCTGATAGCCGTGATAGCAATAACTATAGTGTTTATTCAATTTCTGGACGAATTTGGGCACATCTTCCAAGTATATGAGACTCACCCCGCACCCTGTAACCCTTGTCCCTGTGCTATCAGGTGTAATTGTAGCTTGGATCAAGCGTTTATTCGAACTTTCTGCAAGGTCACTCTGTGGTATAAAACACCAATGTATAAATGGTCCAGCGAAATTGCAATCACGGTAATCAAGCGCAAGGAGACGTTCATGAGGATCTTCAGTTGTACAGAGTTCAATACGGTGATTGCGAGTGAATTTTAATCCCAATTCCTCATCAAATTCTGGTACATCTTCCAAACTATCATGCTTCTGGGCTGCTTCACAAATAAAGCACAGAGCAAGTTTTATCCATTTACTCTTACCATTTACATCATGAGGCAGCGGGATTGTTATGGTGGATTCAGTACTTCGACGGCTCAACCATGCTGGAATTTCATTCGATCGATAACCATATTCAAACCTTTCATCACGCCGAATGGCACCCTATAAAATAGAAGTAAAAGAAAGATAAGTAAAAAAAGTTAATTTGAGAGAGAGAGAGAGAGAGAGAGACGACCTCAAAGAATGTTTGATAGAATGGCCACAATAGATGTTTATCAGGTAACCAAAACGCCTGAGCTATGTCGTCGTGTCTTTGGCGATTTAGAAAACTGAATCCGGCAGCAGCTGAAGGCCACACCGTTATTTTATTTGAATGTGCTCCCTGCAGGAGAGGACAATTATGTACACTTACAGCTCTTATACTAAATGGAAGTCGTGGCAATGATTGAAGCATGCTACAACCATCCAAAACAAGTTCTTCAAGCTGAGACAGCTGAGAGATGCTTTCAGGTACTTGGCTTATAGCAGTCCCGCTAGCATAAAGCTCCTGTAAACATTCTAAACTGCCCAAGTTCTCTGGTAACTCATTAAGATTCGAACATCCTGAGAGGTTGAGAATTTGAAGTGATGTCAAATTAGTACAAATGACATCTGGCAGAGTCAAAAGGTTCTTGCATTCTCTGAGATTGAGCAGAGTAAGGTCAGTCAAATGCTTGATTGATGTTGGTAGCTCTTGTATAGCTGTTCTGCTTGCATAGAGCTCCTGTAGACATTCTAAACTCCCTAAATTTTCTGGTAACTCATTAAGATTGGAACAACCTGAGACGTTGAGTATTTGAAGTGATGTCAAACTAGTGCCAATGACGTCTGGCAGACTCAAAAGGTTCTTGCAGTCTCTAAGATTGAGCAGAATAAGGCCAGTCAAATGCTTGATTGATGTTGGTAGCTCTTCTATTGCTGTCCCATCTAAATGAAGCTTCCTTAATTGTTTCATGTCCTTCCCAATCTCTGGAAGTTTTTGAGTTTGGAACAACCCGAAAGAATGAAATTTGTGAGAGATCTCAAGTTGATATCGTTGGGAACCGCAGACAAGCTTGTACAACCTTTAAGGATTAGCTGCTCAAGGTTTGGGACTTTGTCGAAGTCAGGGGTCTTGATCAACTTTTGACAATCACTAAGGTTTAATACCGCCAGCTTTTCCAAGGGCTGTAAAGAAATTCATAAAAATAAAATAACAAAAACAAAAGTAGTATATAATTCATAAACAAATTCATACCATAGACTAAGGTTGAGTTAACTTGATAAACAAATTCAACATAAGAAACGGACAGAATAAATAATCTTACTCTCTCAATTTCCTCCCATAATTCCTCTATTTCGCTTTCAGACAAGTTCAGTTCAACAAGTTTGTCGGGTTCGAAACTTGAAGGCAGAGATTTTAAAGGACATTTGTGCCATTCCAATAAGCTTAACTCATCTGAAAGATATTCAAGACATCCAGAAAATTCCACATTGTAAATCTTCAACAATCTTAGATTGTCCATGTTTGAGAATTGATCTTTCTTCAAGTGTACTTTGTCTGGCTGAGGCGAGCTTAGGAAAATACCTTCAACAGTTTTGTCCCCTAATACCCACAGTAGAAAAATATTTATACTATTAGCAACAAAAAATCAAAAATTCAATATTCAAATAAAGTGGATATGTTATCTTGAAATTATTAATAAACAACTTTTTAATCTAAGTAAATATTAGTGATGTATTTATTAGGGAGTGCTCTATGATTCTTCTAAACTTCTCACCTTATTTTTCTTCAGTACAGGAAGGGCAACTGTATGATGCCACAATCTGCTGCGTTCTCCTTCCTTTTTGGATTCTCCACGAACAATATCTCTGCCCATTTTTTGTAGTAAATCATGCATCCACAATTTTCCTCCTACCATACTTACTAAATATTTCTCACAGAGGATGTCCATATTGATGCTTGGATAGTAACCACAACTTTCAAATATCTTTTCTAGACGACATACATCCTCGCCTTTGAAGAAACATGCAGTGTCCAAAAACATGTCCTTCTGTTCTTGATTCTCTAATCCGTCAAAACTTGCTTTAAGAACACCAATAATTTTCTCCTCACCAGAGTAGTTATTATCTTTTAAAGACTTCAATTTAGTAGACCAATAGTCTTCTTTTCTGTCCCGTAAGGAGCGACCGAAAACTTCAAGAGCCAATGGATGACCATCAATGTAATCGACAAATTCGTTAGACAACTTCTTAAAAGCATCAGTGGGATGGTCTGTTTCGAGGGCTTTCCGACAGAAGAGAAGAAGAGCTTGATCCGGAGTAAGTTTCTCAATTGTGTATATTTCTCGGTGCTTATAATCTATCAACAACCTTTCATCTGTTGTGGTTACGATGATTCTACTTCCCTTACCAAACCGATTGGATAAGCCTCCACAGTCACTTCCAGCTACAGCTTCTATTTGTTTTAATTCATCCACGTTGTCAAGAATTATAAGCACCTGTTTGTCACGCAATCTTGTACGTATCACATCATCGACATCCTTTGTGGTTACTTTCTTATCCAACAAGTGATCACAAAGTTGTTTTTTGATGTGAAATAAGTCTTTTTTTTTAGATATCTCTCCAACCTTAGAAATGAAACTGATAGCATCAAATTGACTGCGAATTCTTTGACAAAGAGCTTTTGCAACAGTACTCTTACCAATCCCTGCCATCCCACAAATCCCTATTACACGAACTTCTTCCTTACCCATAGACAAACTCATTTTGGATTTAATTTCATTTACACGATCCATTCCAACAAAGTCCTTTAAATCATCATTTGAGAATGTTTTAATCAAAGCACCAAAAATACGTTCAACTATCTTTTCAATCATATCTGTCTCGTATCTGCAAAAAGTTAGAGCATTCTGTTAAGTATTTGGGTCAGTATTCCTCATAATTAAAGATGAAAAAATGTAAAACTTGTCTTGTTTTCTAGTCAGACTATACTTGTAGTTAGATTTCCGGCCTCTCAACGTGCACCCTTCTAATGTCATGCGGGCTTCTCCTATACTTTACTAAAATGGTGTATTCGGTTTTGATTTATATGGCCTATTATAGAGTTTTTCTTTGAGTGATACTCTTGTAGACTTTATACAATATTTTATCAATCTAGCTAGTTTGATCTCACGATCAAACACTCCCTAGACACAACTCTGTTTACTAATGTAGTGTATAGGGTCCTTTATTAGTGAATCTCTCCTCGAATTCTTCAATATAATTGAGCTTGAGCCTTCCATTGACACCTTGCTACTTTAATACTAAATGGATTTCTATTGAAAGCTAGCCAAGGCTCGTTTGGGTACTATCTCGTTTTAAGGAACTTTTAAGTTTTTGTTGTTCCATGCTATTCCTAGCTCTAACAAGTAAAACCGATAAAATTAGGAAAAAAGCTTAGACCATGATACTTGATAGATTTTTCCAGCCTCACCTGAAATCTGTCAGATCATACATATTAAAAGAACCAGCCTTACCTAAATTTTGTCAGATCAAATCCTTCGGCTTCGAGTTCGGCTATTGCATTGAGAGACTTCTTCCACCTTGCCACCTTTCCTGGCTCACCTTCGAAATCTTTATCATGTTGAGCAAATGCCTTTTTAAATTGATCTCCAGTTTGCTCTCGTACTTCGGATGGCGTCACGTTGTAGAACACGGGCAAAATCAATCTGGACTCATTGTTTGCCAGTTCAACCATTTTCGCAAGTTCATCCAGACACCATGTGGAGGTCGCATAGTTTGTTGAAAGAATGATGACTGAAATGTTCGATTCCTCAATTGCTTTGTAGAGTTCCTTCGAAATGGGTTTTCCACTCTTCAGTTGTTCATCATCCCTGAAAGTGTGGATTCCATTCCGAATCAAAGCCTTGTACAAATGGTCAGTAAAACCTTTTCGAGTGTCAAAACCTCGAAAACTGAGGAACACCTCATATTCCAGTGGACGGGTCGGAGGAGGAGGCAAAGCTGAGGAGGTTTGGGTGGTCACGGGATCAGCCATTGGAGTGACTAAATCAGTAACCAACCCGCTGTTATCTGGTAATGGAAGCTCTTGAAAGGTACTTACAAGTGTTTGCAGAACCAACTAGCTTGGTGGCTGAGCTGATAGAGCGCAATATAAATACTCAAGATTAGTATTCTTTTAATCAAAAAGATTTGGAACTGCGTAGCCAAACAGCCAAAAGAGCAGCAGGCTTCAGTCATAATTTAAGGGGTCGGTGGATTGCAGATGGAATCTAAGGACTAAATTCTAGTTATATACCCCAGTCCAGCCTCTAACTCTGAATTATCATATGATGACAACTAATTTTTTATTTTTTTAAGTGAGCTCCTTTGATTCTCTCGTGTAAATACGATCTGTTACTCTTATTTATGCCAACTTGTTTGATTTCTGGTGTAAAAAAAATGGTGCGGAACCAGAAAGCAAACAACAAAAAAATGAAAACTGATGGTGTGAAGTGTGAACGATGGACTTTCATTGACTTCCCAAGGAGCAGGTGCACAAGCCTTTATGCAGTCAACAATGGATAGCATAATCATTGCCACTATTTATTAGAGAGAGATCTGAAAATGCTTATATTTTAAAGCAATTTCCCTCCAATTCCATATGGGAAGGATTTTATTGGAGGAAGATTTAACAATGGCAAGGTTCCTCAGACTTTGTTGGTATGTCTATAATTATTTCTCTCTCCAAGCATTTGTGAAAAAGAATTCCTGATTCGTAAAACGATCATGTAGTATATCCAGTTCATGGTTTCAACATCTAGAACCCTTTTATCTTTTTGTCCAAGAGCACAACTTGAGTGGTTATGATACTGAAATTAAGAGCACCGGATTGAGTTTAGGAAAGAGAGGTGATTTGCGCACTATCGAAAATACCTCACGCCCTTATCTTTCATTTATCTTTTTAATATAGCTTTGGTTGAAAATCAATAGGGAGTTTTCTATTGTGATAGATAGGAAACTAATTTTAATTTTAGGGACTCAAACCTTGACCATCAAAGGAGGAACCCTCAATCACAAACCACTACACCAATCTTGTTTTTGTAATATTTATTATGTAACACTATTTATATTAACAATCAAGGGTTTTATAAATAATAAATAATAAATTCATTTCAACACAATTTGTACAAAATCCATCATACTCTAGAGTTATACATAAATTTCAATCAACTACTACTCTAAAACAAAACAATGTCAATGAAGTAAAACAAAAACAAAAACTTCAATCATTTACATCTATGAGAAAAACACAACAAAAAAGAAACTGCATAACAATTCTATTTCTTTTGGGTTTTGTGCCCTTCAACAGAGACACTGAACAATCATCTAACATACACACAACATTGTAGTTTATAATCTTGCCAATCTATCTAGCATGCCCTTTCACTGCTCTTTGGTGGACACCACTCTCTCTCCCTTGGAGTGTTTTAATTTTCACCCAAAAAAAAACATGGAATAAATTTTAGTACAGAAACCACTTTATTTTTACTCTGGAGTTTCTTTTACTTTTGATCCAAAAGGCAGCAGAAGTAAGAAAACCAATCAACTAGAACATGGGGGAAAATCTTTTGAAAACAAAACAAGAAAAGCAAATCAGCTAATAATAACCAGCTGAACATCATCACAACGCCCAACTAATGAACTGAATCAGAAGCCTCTTTAGATCCAGATGCTAAATTCATACCTGAGAAAACCCGACTTCGCACCTCGGAAGAAAGCATACTACAATGTAAATGATATTTCCGTATTATATAGAAACATGAAATTCAAAAAATTAAATGAGAAAACGACATTTCATTATGGTCGAGCTCAGATAGCGGGAAAATCTTTTGTTAGGCTTAGGCCTATCTCAAAGAAAAAGGAAAACACAAGATCAAATTGTCATTATCTGTTGTTAGTCCTATTATATATATATATATATATATATATGCAACGACACCCAATTTTTTCACGAATCCATTAGTGCAATGTAATAGCATAAATGGTGGATTTCATAGATTTCTTTTCTTGATTGTAATTGCTTTGCGTTTGTTATAACCTTTGCATTTCATGAAAACTATGTTAATTGCCACCGGCATTAAAATCCTTCTTATTTTCTTTAAATAGCATGTATATATATACACTAGCTTCGGTTGAGGGATTCCTCAAATAAGCTTATTTGAGAGACACCCTTGTAGAGCCCATCATACATTGTATTTCATTAATCAAAACCGTATATTTTGTAGATGTTCATTTGAAAATTATCTCTACAAAAAATCACTTCAATATGATATCATTTGACCACTCAATTAAATTATTGAAATTTTAGTACTTTCTTGAAGCACCGTGTTCATTGATTTTGTATAACACAATTAGATATCGAAACAGTTTTTGATTTGAAGGACAATTGAGGGATCCCTTAAATAAGCTTACATAAATTAGAAAACATCAAAATATTCAACTTACCATGACCATAACTTTTTTGTCATTTGATCAGCATACAACAATATTCTAGATCTATGCTCCTCAACAGAATGAATTTCTGATTGCACATCTAAAGGCTTGAAATGAGGACAAACATCTTTCACAGAGCTATGCTGGGTGGATTCGGCGTCTCCAACAAGATTCAACAGCAAACTTGTAGCTCCCACACTTCCATTATATTTCTTGTTATATGGAAAATCACCAGTTCCGTAGTAAACAGGCCGATCTGCTGCAGTGGTGCAATGACTAATTGTTTCGATTAACCCTTTGAAATCTTGGTTGTATACTAGGCGCATCCCACACATTTCAACCTCCACACCTGGAGTTTTGCATCCAAATAAAGCTTGAACAAAATGACACCGATTCAAACGTTCTGGAAAGCGTACTCGTGGAACATGAATAATGAGGAGTCGATGTGATCCCACATTGTCATCCCAATGAGATCGTAACTCCAAACGATTTATCATTTGTTCAGGACCCACAGCTTCAATAGGTGTACACAAATGACACTCATAGACTATCCGAGAAAGTTCAACATCTGAAGGTAGAGTGTAGACAACGTATAACGAAAGTCCTGCCCAGTTCTCGTCATTGTGCAGATTCGGAGGAAGAGGTAAGTTTACTGTGCACCCAGGCGCGCCGCTTTGTTCACTAAACCACTGTAATCTTTCTCGTACACAAAAAATAAAACCATAATCATAGATATGCGGAAGGCCCCCTTGTAATCCCTGCAAAAACATATATATGGTACTCATGATATATCAGTAAATTAAGTCGTCAGATTTTTTCTTTTTTTTCGGTAGTATAAGACAGAGAGAGAGAGAGAGAGAGAGAGAGAGAGAGAGAGAGATTTTGTACCTTAAACAGTTTTTTCAAGTAATGACACCAGGTTTCTTCTCATTGATCCACAATTCCGGTTGAAGTGGTATATTCTTGTTCTTGTACTTCTTGTTCAGTTTGAACACCGCTTGCTGACAAAATACTTCCCACACCATCTTCTTCTTGTTCTGTTTCATCCTGAGAAACTAGTACTGTTTTACTTTCATGTTAGAGCCCACAGCAGAATCAGTTTTTGGTCTGAAATCTATAGGCTGGAAAGGAGGACAAACATCGCTCACAGAGCTGTGCAGGCTGGAGTTGGCTGCTTGAAGCAGATTCGTTAGCAAACTTGTAGCTCCCAAACTAATTCCCTTATATTTCTTGGTATCTGTGAAATCACCAGTTCCGTAGTAAGCAGACTGATCGGTGGTGCAATGGCTAATTGTTTGGATTAAGCCTTTCACATCTTGGTTGTATACGAGACGCATCCCACACATTTCCACACCTGGAGTTCGAACCAAAGCATGAATGAAACGGCAGCGATTCAATCGTTCTGCAAAGCGTACTCGTGGTATATGAATAATGAGGAGTCGATGAGACCCCGCATTGTCATCCAAGGGGGAACATAACATTAGGCGATGCATTAGTTGGTAACCCACACCTTCAATAGGTGTATAGAAATGACACTCATAGAAAGTGCGAGTACGTGAAACACCTGGAGGCAGAGTGCAGACAAGGTATAGAGAAAGTCCTGCCCAGTTGTCATCGTTGTGCAGATTTGGAGGAAGAGGTAAGTTTACTTCGCACCCAGGGGCACTGCTTTGTTCACTAAACCACTGTAATCTTTCTCGTAGAGGAAAAATAAAACCATAATCATAGAGATGAGGAAGGCCCCGCTGTAATCCCTACACAAACATATATATATGGCACTCATGATGTCATTAATTAAGTCGTCAGTCTTTTTCTGGGTATGTGTTTTTTTTTGTGAGAGAGAGGAGAAAAACTTGTATACCAATGGGATAACACTGTTTTGCTATATATCCCCAACCAATCACATTCTGCCATGCATGTTAAGAATTTCACATGGCAGCATGTGATTGAAGAATAGCAAAATAGTGTCATCCCCTTGACATGTTAGTACTCTGAGAGAGAGAGAGAGAGAGAGACATATGGTACCTCAAATAGTTTTCCAAGCAATGACACCACGTTTCTTCTCAATTGACCTACAATCCGGGTTGTAGTAGTTTCTTGTTTAATCTGATTTCCGTGATAGCAATATTCATGGTGTTTATTCAATTTCCGGACAAATTCAGGCACATCTGCCAAGTATATTAGACTCATCCCACACGTTGTCACCTTTACGCCTAGGCTATCAGGTTTAATTGAAGCTGAAATGAATCGTGTATTCGAACTTTCCGCAAAGCAACGTCGTGGTATATAGCACCAATGTATAAAAGGTCCAGCTAGATCGCAATCACGGTAATTAATTACTAGGGGACATTCATGAGGATATTCAGTTGTACATAGTTCAATACGGTGATTGCGATTGAACTTTACTCCAAATTCCTCATCAACGTGTGGTTCATCTTCCAATTATCATACTTCTGGGCTGCTACGCAAACAAAACAAAGAGCAAGTCCCATCCATTTCCTCTTCCCATCTAAATCAGGAGGTAGCAATATTGTTATGGCGGATTCAATACTATGACGGCTCAACCATTCTGGAATATTATTTGATCGATAACCAAGTTCCAAGCTATCACCGTGACGAATTGTGCGCTACAAAATAGAATCAAAAGAAAGGTAATAATAATAAAAAGAAGTTGATTAGTTAGAGAGAGAGAGAGAGAGTGAAGCGAAAGAAAGATAGAAAAACGAAGTTGATTAGAGAGAGAGGACCTCAAAGAATATTTGATAGAATGGCAACATAAGATGTTGATCTGGTAACCAAATTGCATGAGCTTTGTCTTTATCACTGTGGCAATTTATATAACTGAATCCGGCAGCAGCTGACGGCCACACCGTTATTTTATTTGATTGCAGGAGAGGACAATTATGTGCACTTACAGCTCTTATACTGAATGGAAATCTTGGCAATGATTGAAGCTTGCTACAATCATCCAAGAAAAGTTCTCCCAGCTGAGAAATTTCAGAGATGCTTTCAGGTACTTGGCTTATAGCCGTCCCGCTAGCATCAAGCTCCTGTAAAAAAGCTAAACTCCCCAAGTTCTCTGGTAACTCGTTAAGATTCGAACACCCTGAGAGGTTGAGAATTTGAAGTGATGTCAAACTAGTACAAAGGACATCTGGAAGAACCAAAAGGTTGGTGCAATCTTTGAGATTGAATAGGGTAAGGCCGGTCAAATGTCTGATTGATGTTGGTAGCTCTCGTATAGCTGTCCCACTAGCATTGAGCTCCTGTAAACATTCTAAACTCCCCAAGTTCTCTGGTAACTCATTAAGATTGGAACATCCCAAGAGGTTGAGAATTTGAAGTGTTGTCAAACTAGTACAAATGATGTCTGGCAGACTCAATAGGTTCTTGCAGTCTCTGAGATTGAGCAAAGTAAGGCCATTCAAATGCTTGATTGATGTTGGTAGCTCTTCTATAGCTGTTCCATCTAAATGAAGTTCCCTTAATTGTTTCATGTCTTCCCCAATCTCTGGAAGCTTGCCGAGTTTGGAACATCCCGAAAGAATGAAATTTGTGAGAGATCTCAAGTTGATACTGACGGGAACCTCAGACAAGCTTGTACAACCTTTCAGGATTAGCTGCTCAAGGTTTGGGACTTTGTTAAAGTCAGGGGCCTTGATGAACTTTTCACAATCACTAAGGTTGAGTATCACCAACTTTTTCAAAGGCTGTAAAGAAATTTATAAACCCAAAGTACTTAAAACATATCTGAAAGACTTAAATTTGATGAACAAATTCAACGTAAGAACTGGACAGAATAAATAATCTTACCCTTTCAACTTCCTCCCATAATTGCTCTATTTCGCTTTCGCACAAGTTCAGTTCAACAAGTTTATGGGGTTCAAAACTTGAAGGCAGAGATTTTAAAGGATATTTGTGCCATTCCAAGAAGCTTAACTCATCTGAAAGATATTCAAGGCATTCCGCAAATTTCACATTGTGAATCTTCAACAATCTTAGACTGTCCAAGTTTGAGAATGGGTCTTCCTTCAAGTGCACTTTCTGTGGCTTAGGCGAGGTTAGGAAAATACCTTTAACAGCATCTGTCCCCTAATAGCCGTAGTAGAAAAGTTATTTATATAGACAAAATAGAAGCGAGTTTAAATATTCTTTTCAGCAAAACAAAAATTCAAAATTTAAATTAAATATACCTTATTAGAAGTTACAATGAAATAACTTTTTTTTTTTTAGTAAACTACAGGAGACGGGGATTTCTCACACACACAACTATGATGCCCTGGGAATTCGAACCTAAGACCTCTACTCTGCAAGTCAATGCCCTTTACACTGGGCTAGATTCCATTGGCACAAAACAACTTTTTAATCTAAAGAAAATATGAATGGTTTGTAGTGTATGATTCTACTAAATTAATCTAGCCCAAAACAACTTTTTAATCTAAAGAAAATATGAATGGTTTGTAGTGTATGATTCTACTAAATTTCTCACCTTATTTTTCTTTAGTACAGGAAGCGCATCTGTATGATGCCACAATCTGCTGCGTTCTCCTTGCTTTTTGGATTCTCTCCGAACAATTTCTCTGCCCATTTGTTGTAGTAAATCATGCATCCACAATTTTCCTCCAACGATGCTTAATAAATATTTCTCACAGAGGATGTTTATATTGCTTCCTGGATGGTAGCCACAGCTTTCAAATATCTTTTTTATACGACATGCATCCTCTCCTCTGAAGAAACATGCAGTGTCCAAAAAGATTTCCTGCTGTGCTGGATTCTTTAATCCATCAAAACTTACTTTAAGAATATCAATAATTTTTTCTTCACCATAATAATTATTATCTTTTAAAGAAGCTAATGTACTAGACCATTCTTCCACACTTCTTTTCCATAAGGAGGAACCCAAAACTTCAAGAGCCAAAGGAAGACCATCAATGTAATCTACAAATTCATCAGACAAGTCCTCAAAACCATCCGTAGGATGGTCTTTTTTGAAGGCTTTCCGGCAGAAGAGAAGAAGAGCTTCATCTTGAGTAAGTTTCTCAATCCTGTATATTTCTGGATTATAATCTATCAACAGCCTTTCATCTGTTGTGGTTATGATGATTCTACTACCCTTACCAAACCGATTAGATAATTCTTAATCATCACTTCCAGCTACAGCTTTTATTTGTTCTAACGCATCCACATTGTCAAGAATTATAAGCACCCGTTTGCAGCGAAATCTCTTACATATCACATCATCGACATTCTTTGTAGTTTCTCTGTTATTCAGCAAGTGATCACAAAGTTGTTCTTTGATATGGAATAAGCTTTCTTTTCTAGATATCTCTCCAATCTTAGAAATGAAACTGAAAGCTTCGAATTGATTGCGAATACTCTGAAGAAGAGCTTTTGCAATGGTACTCTTACCAATCCCTGGCATCCCACAAATCCCTATTACCCGAACTTCTTCCAGACACGGACTCATGTTGGATTTAATTTCATTTACACGATTAATACCAACAAAATCCTTTAAATCATCTGAGAATGTGTGACATGTATTCAGTTTACCCAAAATCCTTTTAACTATCTTTTCAGTCACTTTTGTCTCATATCTGCAAAAAGGTTAGAGCATCATGTTAAGTATTTCGGTCAGTGATTTGTCATACTATAGTGGTAGGGTTGACTAGACTATTCCTAGCTCTTCTCATGTAAATGGGATCTTTTACTCTTGCCATATATAATAGAAGCATGTTTTGATCTATATGTTTCTTCTGTAGCTTTCATATTTGAGTTGAGGATTCTCCATTCTGGCTACTATCTTATGAAGTTTATATCTGATTAAAATAAAATAAAAATTTCTAACCAAGGAAAGAAAAAACAAAAAACCTGACTATATGTTAATCATAATCTCCTCAATTAGACTGTATGTGAAAAGTTCCACTGCCATTTTGGATTTCAATTTACCTAAGTTTGTTTAACACTTCCTAAAATTTTACCTAAGGATATATTTTTGTTTATCCTTGGCCTCTTGTCATATGTTATTTTAGCTTGGCAAACATATATGCTACAAAAAGATATAAACTGAAATGACAAATATGTTATAAAAGTAGCCGCCTTACCTAAAACCTCTTACATCAAATCCTGAGAGGTTGGCTATTTCAGTGAGAGATTTCTTCCACCTTGTCACCTTTCCTGGCTCTCCTTCGAAATCTTTATCATGTTGAGCAAACGCCTCTTTAAAATGTTCTCCGGTTTGTTCTCGTACTTCGGATGGCGTCACGTCGTAGAAGACAGGCAAAATCAGCCTGGACTTGGTGTTTGCTGCAAGTTCAACCACAGTGGCAAGTTCATCCAGACACCATGTGGAGGTTGCATAGTTTTTTGAAAGAATGACGACTGAAATTTGAGATTCTTCAATTGCTTTCAAGAGTGCCGTTGAAATGGGTTCTCCACTGTCGAGTTGTTCATCATCTCTGAAAGTGTGGATTCCTTTCTGAATTAAGGTGTTGTACAAATAGTCAGTAAAACCTTTTCGAGTGTCCAGACCTCTAAAACTCAGGAACACCTCATATTTCGGTGGAGGGGTCGAAGGAGGAGGCAAAGCCGAGGAGGTTTGGGTGGTCATGGGATCAGCCACTGCAGATACTAGATCAGTAGCCAACCTGTTAGCTGGTAATGGAAGCTTTGGCAAGATGTTACTTAAAAGTGTTTGCAAAACCAACTAGCTTGGTAGCTAATGATCCGCGGCTCAACCTAATTAATCAGTCTAAGTCAAGATTAATTAGTTTTTCTTTTAATCAAACGACCCCGTTATTATATTGCAGAGTCCCACCTCTAACTCTCAGTAATCATACGATTACAAAACGATTTGTTTACTTTTATATGAACTTTTTTTATTTTCTCTCGTAAATGGAATCTTTTATTCTTGTTTAATGACAACTTGTTTGATTTTCAAGTATAAAAAGATAGTGTGGAACATGAACTCATACATTATTTATTAAACACAGATCTAGAAGACTTGAATCTTTAGCACGACTTGAAGATAAATGGCGTACGCTATATTAAATTTATACTGACAGTGATTATTTTCACAGCACATCAATGTCAAACCGGCTCTGAATTCATCAATATCATTGAGTTTACCATGCTTGTTCCAAGCAATTTCGCTCCGAGTCCGTATGGGGAAGGAAGCATTTGATTACTGGAAGATTTAACAATGGCAAGGTTCCCTCAGACAATTTTGTCGGTATATCTTTAATTAATTCATTTTCCCACTTGCTTCGATAATAACCAGCTGAACTGAATGAGAAGCCTCTCTGCATCTAGATACTGAACAAGTAAAATAATAAAGGAAAAAAAAATACAGAAAATGTTGGGCTTAAAAATGCAAGCCAACTACAATAATTACCTTCATTAAGAAGAAAAACCCGAGAGCCATAGGCCATGTAATCGTGGAAACCAAATGATAATTCATACCTGAGAAAAGCCCAACTTCGCTCCTAGTCCTTGGAAGAGAGCATATATGACTACAATGTAAATTATATTTCACAATTAAACATGAAATTCAAACATTATATGACAAAATGACATTTCATTATGGTGGAAACCCAGATAGGGAGGAAATCTTTTGTTAGGCCTATCTCTCAAAGAAAAAGGAAAACACAAGATCAACTTGTCATTCTGTTGTTAGTCCTACTATACACAGCTTGAAACTCCTGAAGGTATTTCGAAAAAAAATAACGATTGTTTCAATACAGCTGGATTCTATGGCTCCTCTTCTTCCTCAGGTGGCCCATTACAACCAAATGGGGGCGGAGGTGGATCAACACTCAATGTGCCCTCCAACACCTTAACCACCTCTCTCATTGAAGGTCTCCGGCGTTCATCAATTTGGAGACACCAAAATGCAATTCTTAAAGAACGTTCCAGCTCTTGCAGATTAAACCCACCACTTATTCTTTTATCCACTACATTCTCTGGACGCCCTTCCATCCACTCTGTGTACGCCCACTCACAAAGGTCCCCAACTCCTCTGCACCCACTAACCAATACTAACACCATCTTGCCAAAGTCCTCTACATCTCTCTCTGCAGAAGAGGACGATGCCTCGCTGACTACTTTTCCGAGTCCAAATTCAGTCACCTTGGCCTCTAAGTTTTCCTCCAATACCACATTCTCGCATTTCAAGTTTCCATGGCTCATAAATTCCCTACAGCTTGTGTGTAGATAACAAATGGCCCTTGCCACACTTAAACATATATCAAATCTCTTTCCCCAAGTCAGCTTCTTACACAATTTAAGATCTTCTAAATATTTCTCCACTGAACCATTCTTGGCATATTCATAGACTAGAAATCTGTGATCTAACTCACAACAGTAGCCCTGCAGTTTCACAAGATTTTTGTGATGAATGCTTCCTATCTTTGAAACTGCACTCCGGTATTTTCTTTCTTCTATGGTTATATTCAGATCTTTGATTGCAACTGGCTTTTTATTTGGAAGAACACCTTTGAACATCTTTGGCCCAATCTGATGCTTAAAGTTCTCTGTAAGCTCCTCAATTTCAGAGAAGGATAACACAATCAAACCATTTGAGTTGGGGCTGGTATAAGCCAAAGCGGCTTTCTTTCTATCCAAATTTCTTCTTCTGAAGAACCAGAAACCAAGTGCCAATTGAACTAAAACAAAGACAACGAACATTCCTGAGGCTACTCCGATTACACAAGGGAAACAAAACTTATGAGACTGCTCGAGTGGAGAAGGGGAGGTCGTCACATGATTGGGATTTACAGCTAATGGATATGCACACGTCTTCACAAAAGATACTGAACTTAGTGAAGGGTCTGAATAGCCAGTAACATACTGCGTTCTCTTCATTAAGCACCGTGCAGTTCCATCATTTGAGAAGGTTGCAGCTATACAAGATGGGTCATTCAGGCACAAACTCTTACATTCCTGTAAACTAACTTTGGCAACTAAATCATCAGTTGGTGGATACATTCCATACAGGAAAGTATGCATATATTTAAGCATGTCAGAACCAGAATCACACGGATGATTTGGAATCAAACATCTGGAAATGGATTCATTTGTATGCTTAAACGGGCATTCGCAATCAGGGGACCCAGATTCAGTAAAGACACAGATGCCACGTTGGCCACAGGTTGCAAAGACATTGCACTGGTTCTCAACAGCCTGCCAGACTGATCTCCATGACTTTGAAGGCTCTACCCATGAGTATAACCGGAGATTACCATCAACATCTAGCCTAAGAAACCTGTAACTTACAGAGTCATTGTGATCTTCTCCAAACAGTGACCAAACAGGTTTCAAGTTCTGGTCGCGGAGTTGTAGGGCTCCATCAGAGGTGAGGAAAGCACTGAGGTTCGAACTAGAAGGGCTTCCACTTGTCCAATAGATAACATGACTTTCCCATCGCAGTTGCAACTGACCAGAAGCATTCATGAAAAGAGTGTAGTAACTGGACACAGAATTCTTGCTTGCAGCTCGGAGTGTTTGAAACATAGAGAAGTTCTGTCCAGGAAGAAGTGTGTCAGAAGGTGTATCAAAACTTTGCCAAACAATATGTTTCTCTTTATTCAATAGGACAAGATTTCCATTGTCATTCAGAGCAGCTGAAACAACAGATAACTGCCTTGTCTTACTGCTCCATATCACTCCCTTTAAGGAATCAAATAAAATTAGTTCACCATCCTGGGTCAGTTGGACATAAGAATTGTTACCAAGAATAAGATCAGCTCCAGCAATCCACACCACAATTTGTTTATCAAGCGGAATAGACTTCGAATTGGAACGGATCCCAACACTATAGTTTGGCTCATCTGGACTGTTAAAAAATCCAAATGCAAAATCACCATTTGGAGAGACCCACATGTCTTTATCAACTATAGAAAGTTTTGAATCCAAGGGAATCTCTGAAGCGCCAAGAGAATGTAGCAGGAACCCAGCAAAGATACATAGCAAGAAACACAATTTGAGGAGAAGTCTGTCCTGTTCAGGCATATCTGAATATGCTTATAGATCCTACAAAAAACAATAAATGAGAACTATGCCTTCGAATCAAAGTGGGAAAAGATATATGAACATTTTCCTTTGAGAAATTTGCTGTAAAGGACACAAGTATATATGGAGATTACAATAAACTATATTAGGCTATAATCTAATCTAGGCTATAATTGGGGTCGACCCACGTAAGGTGGAGTGTAATACAAATAAGGTAAGATACAATTGCTAAAGTAACGGAATTTTATTCCTAACAATGCCTGCCATTAAGTACTGAATCACTAGGAAATTTAAGAGTAGAAATAGACGCATGTGAAGAAAAAAAAGGTTGGCTAGTTCCAACCTTTTCAAGACTAAGCCCACTGCAAAGTTAAAATGGCAGGAATAAAGACGACTCAGAGACAGAGAAAGAAAAAGAAAATCGTAGGCATTGGATGGATTTCAATGTTTCTAGGCCAAATGAAGATTGAAGTTCAAAACTTTCTATCATAAGCTCAAAGAAACAACCACCAAAATGAATTTCCTACAATTCAAGAAAGAACAGAATATTCAGAATTCAGTACCTGAAAAGACAGTCTAAATCCCAGAAATTCAACAAACCGGTGTGGATTGCCACCATGACTATCGCAGAAACATCCCATTATTATTTCTAAGGGCCATAAGAAGATTGACATGTGAGCAGTCAATATTTGTAGAATCAAACAGAGATTGACTAACTGATTGAGGCAGGAGAACGAAGTGACAAAAAATGAGCTGTAAAGGAGTAAAAAATTGGAATTTTAGGGGATTATAAAGTGGGCGTTGAATTGATTCCTGGATATAAATGGGACCCAAATTAGGCAAGGCAATCACTTTCAGGGCTTAAAAGGTTAAAGACTCTGGACAATGACGCTGCAGATACATCATCTCTGAATATTAAAAAGATGATAAATGTAGGAAATCTACAAAGCCACAAACTATACAAGAAATTCAGAAATCTGCCCCAAAAATATACAAGAATTTGAGAAAACCCCATTTCTGGAACAAGCTTCTTCTATGGATTAAAACCATAGATTGGCAGCAACTAAAACAGATATGAAATGGGTTTGTTTCTCACTTATACTATGACTGAGTGAAATTTGGAAAAGAAAAATAAATGAAACTTTAAACATTTACTAACCAGCTTATCTCCAAGTAGAATCATTCCACGATGACTGCCTCCTAAAAAAATTCAAAATTCTGCTTGAAGAAGGATTTTACTTCTTTTCCTGGAAAGCTTTTCAAGGGCTACTTTTCCTAGAGGACCCAAAGACAGAAACTTTTACACTGAAAACAGACAATGGGTTCTTCTTGAACAGTTGAAGAAATGAAAACCAGGGGCCAAAAGCTGTGTGGATAAGAGAGAACAAGTGGGGCAGACTGAGAGTAGGCAATGGGTTGAAATGGAGAAGGATTGGGATGAAGCTGCTTAAACTGAAAGCATTCTACTGAAGAAAAGTGAGAAAGTGGAAGGTGGGGGGTTGATGTAGCCGGAGATGGTGACAAATAGTCGCCGGAGAAGAGGCAGAGTAACCATATTGGGAAAGAAAGACTGAGGAGAATTGTATGGTAGTGAGTGAAAGCAAAGATTTTGGCTACTAAAAGGGTTTTCAGGATTAATTGTTTCTTTTTCTTTTTCAACAAGGTAAACAAACATTTACGCATGGCCAAAAAAAAAAGTAAAAAGTTACTTTACTTGGCTTCATTCAAATAAAGAATATTCCCAAAAAAATAATAAAGAATATGTTAACCAGTGCAAATTCAGTAGTCAACGTAAGGACTTTGACCACCTGTGCAGATTAAGACGGCTCGAGTGACGACAAAAAGGAAGAACACTAGAAGGATTGGAAAAGTAATCTTCGGTTTATTTTAGATAATAAGTTTACAAGTGTATTGCATATGAATTGAGCTATCTTTCTATTAAGGAGCCGGTGCCCTTTTACCTTCTATTTATAGAGGTACATGGGATATTCTATAGTTATTTAGAGCGGCTCGGCTTATTGAGCCGATCACGTCAGTTCTGACCGCCCATTGTGTATGAATTGAGAACCGATGGGATGTCACCACTTACCCGTTATGAGTATCTTATGCTATTTATAGGGGCAATGCACAGAGTAATCTCTAACTCCTATCACATTACGTCAGTCCTGATCGCTTGTTGTGTCTGAGCTGAGGACCAATGGAATGTTGTCACTTAGCAGTTATGAGTACCTTATGATGTTTATAGGGGCAATACACATAGTAACCTCTAACTCATGTCACATCACGTCTAGGAGTGAATAGCCACCTTATACGTGGAATTGAAGGTGATTGAGGCAACAGCTTTGAAGGGGGATGTACTCCTTTAAGGCGAGTCTTATCATCGACGTGGCTCTCCCATCGCCAAGCGTAGGATAAGTATTCATTCTCGGTTAATTTATCGAGCTGAGGTATCAGTTGGAAATTTCTGCAACGGGCGCACAAGGGAATCGTGATGACTGACGATCACTAGTGGTCGAACCAGAAGGTCAGAAGGTCAGTGAACTGCTAGTATTTTAGTCAAATCCTAGGAGCTTAATGGTCGAACCACAAGCAGGTGATTGGTCATTTGTATGACCAGAGCGCCCCTCGTGGTTGGCTCTTTGAGGAGTACTATAAGGCCCAGCCCTACGTAGAGGGATATGGCCACATGTCATGTTTGTATTGTGAAGATTAAGACGGCTTGAGTGATGACAAAAAGGAAGAACACTAGAAGGATTGGAAAAGTATTCTTTGGTTGATTTTAGCTAATAAGTTTACAAGGGTATTGCATATGAATTGAGCTATCTTTCTATTAAGGAGCCGGTGCCCTTTTACCTTCTATTTATAGAGGTACATGGGATATTTCTAGAGTTGTCTAGAGCGGCTCGGCTTATTAAGCCTATCACGTCAGTCCTGACCACCCGTTATGTCTGAATTGAGGACCAATGGGATGCCGTCACTTAGCCATTATGAGTACCTTATGCTGTTTATAAGGGCAATGCACAGAGTAGCCTCTGACTCCTATCACATCACATCAGTCCTGATCGCTCGTTGCGTCTAAACTGAGGACCAATGAGATGCTGTCACTTAGCAATTATGAGTACCTTATGATGTTTATAAGGGCGATACATATAGTAGCCTCTAACTCATGTCATATCACACCTAGGAGTGAATAGCCACTTTATACGTGGAATCAGAGGTGACTGAGGCGACGGCTTTGAAAGGTGATGTACTCCTTCTTTAAGGCGGGTCTTATCATTGACGTGGCTCTCCCATGGCCAAGCGTAGGGTAAGTATTCGTTCTTGGTTAAGTTCTCAAGCTAAGGTATTAGTTGAAAATTTCTGCAAGGCACGCAAGGGAATCGTGATGACAGATGATCACTAGTAGTCGACTCACCTTTGCTCGATTCAGAAGGTCAATGGATTGCTAGTATTTTAGTCAAATCCTAGGAGTTTAGTGGTTGAACCACAAGCAAATGATTTGTCATTTGTATGACTAGAGCACCCCTCATGGTTGGCTCTTCGAGGTTTACTATAAGGCCCGGCCCTACGTAGAGAGATATGGCCACATGTCATGTTTGTATTGGGTAGACTAGGCTCGCTCATTTCCTTACGTCAACATAATATTTTATAGAAAAGAAAAGCACCCAATTCTCTCTTCTTCTTTTTCCTTTTTTTTTGTTTTGTTTTTTGTTTGCTATGGGAGATAAAAAGAAATGAGGGAAAAGCACCCAGTATATTCCACACGTGAATCCAACTATTTTAGCCATTGCAAAAGTTACAGCCTATCTTTTCTTTAAAATATTCTGCACACTCCTAATATTTTGCATTCCAATGAATCATTTTTTATTTTATTAATTTCATATGTCTTTATAGGGGAGATTCTTACGTGCGGCTGTCGTATACGGGCCCGGCAACACACTCACATGATATGGACCAACCGTGAGGCTGGGTGTGACCAAAATACATGGGAGCACTAATCTTCTGTGAGGATGGTCGCACAGTCCAGGTGGCTGGCTACCGAATTGAAGAATTTCTCGTATTCATGAACAGATATCTCCATCATCATGATTCATGAACCCCAAAATCTTAAATTTGTAATGATATCAGAAACGCACAGTAGAAAAAATCATAGTCTCTTAGGAAGAGGAAAATTTCTAATCAAATCTACAAATGATTATAATTTGTCCTTTCATATTCATGATGAGTGCAGCCAGCAAACATCAACAAGGAAAAGCACAAAAAGAAAATGGTTACATCAAAAATGAAGACAACGCATAATCCACTTACGAACAAAAGTAAATTATGTACCCTTACCTCACCTAAGTGATCAAATTACAATATTACAAAAACAAAAACACAAAATCACTATTCATTGACTTCAATAACAAACCCGACGAAAATTGATGAAGAAATTAAAGAACATACCTTTTTAGCAGAGTCGCTATTGCTTTAGAGCATTTCCAACTAATATGTCAAATTGCTTTAGGCTCTTGAAACTGTATATTCAAAAACCCTAGTATGAAAACCTAGTCGTAGGAGTGTAATAACTATAAGATGATTTTTTATTTTTTTTTCTTTTTTGGAGAACTAAGAAGGAATGAATTGAGAAAACATGATATCTTTTAATTTCACAGATTGCTATGTTACCTCACCTAAGTGATCAAATTACAATATTACAAAAACAAAAACATAAAATCATTATTCATTGACTTCAATAACAAACCCAAAACCCAATGAAAATTGATGAAGAAATTAAAGAACATACCTTTTTAGCATAATGACTATTGCTTTAGAGCATCTCCAACTGATATGTCAAATTGCTTTACGCTCTTGAAATTGTGTATTCAAAAACCCTGGTATGAAAACCTAGCAAAAGGTGTATAACTATAAGATTTTATTTTTTATTAGAAGAACCATAAGAAAGCTTTTAATTTTCTTATGATCTGCTGAATGGGGGAGAACTAAGAAGGAATGAATTG